GCCGGGCCAGCGGCTCCTTCCCCCGCCTCACCGCGCCGCACCGGGCCCACCGGGGACCCCCGGCGGGGGCGGCCGTGCGGCCCGCCCCAGCGTGAGGGGCCAAGAGAGACGCGGAGCCCACGGCCGACACGGCGGCTTCCCCTTCCCGCAGCACCCCCCTCACACACACACACACCGCGGGGCCCGGTGCGCAGCGGCGTCTGAGGAGAGAGAACCCCCGGGGGCGCCGCAGGGAACCCGCCGCGCAGGGAGCGGCCTGAGGCGGCCGAGCAGCCCCGCAGCCAAGCGGCAGGGCGGAGCAGCACTCACTCACTCTCTCTCGGTCGCTCCCGGTCCTCCCGCGGCCGCTCCTAGAAGTGTCCGCCGCTGGCGCCGCCGCCCGCCGCTCTCTAACTCACGGCCGCCATCTTTGCCCTCCCTCCCCTCTCACAGGGAGGGGGAGGGGGGGGAGCGGGGCTGAAGGCCGCCCGCCGCGCCGCACCACGTGACCCACGCCGCACCTCCTCCTCTCCCCCCCCCCAACGACGCGCCGCACCCCTCCCCACGTGATGCCGGCCACCGCCCGCCGCTGGCGCGCGCTTCGCCCCACGTGATGCGCGGCCCCTCCACGCTGGCCTCCCCCAATCACGTGGCCGCCGCCACCGTCTCGCGCCCAACCCCCCCCCTCCTTTCACCCCCCGTTTCTCCCCCCTCGCCCCCCTCCTCCCCCCCCCCGCTGCTGCCGCCGCCACCGGAGTGTGGCGCACGCTCCCCCCGACCCCGTCACGTGACATGCCGCTCCTCGTTCCTCCCTGCCCAACAGCTCCCCGACACCCGGCGTATCCACCGTCCTCAGAGCGCGACGTCCCCCGCGGGCGGGCGCTGCCTCGGGGCCGATGGCGGCGGACCGGACTCGAGGCTGGCGGCTTGGGCCCGGTTCCCGGTTGGGTGGGGGAGGGGAAGGCGGAGGCGAACGGGGCTGCGAGCGGTCACGTGATCCCCGGCTCCTCCAAGATGGCGGCTGCCGCGAGGACGCGACAGGCGGCGCTCTCGCGAGAGCTCGCTCTTCTCGGGGTATCGTGATGACGCGCCTTGTGTCTGTGCGCGGTGGGGAAGGAAGGAACAAGAGGTGGCGCATGCGCATTGCGCCATCCGCCTGAGGCGGCGCGCGGCAGTGGCGGGCGGACCCCGGCGCCTGAGGAGTAAGGGATGGTGTCGGAGCCTGCTCCCGCCGCTGGACGCGGCCCCCCCTTGGTTCCAGGCCGCTGTGGCGGGCGCCGCTGTCCTTGTGAAAGCACTGCAGGGCTCTGGCTCTGCGGCGGGGTCGGTGCCTCCCCGTCTGCGGGATGCCTACAGACCCCCCGTTCCCTCGTAGGCACACGGCTCGCCGGTGTCCCCCTCACAGAAGCAGCTCCCTGAGGGGATCGAGGGGTGACAGCGGTGCTGTGCTGAGGGCCATCCCTGCTGAGTAGCCTGGCAATGCCACACGTGTGCAGTGCGCTGGCGCATGAGTTTTCCCTCACAAATACCTTAAAAGTGGCTAAAGCGACGTTTTCTGCCGCAAAGAGCTAATTCTGCCTGAAAACCCAGTGACTGCTTACACTTGCTTTGACATTTGGGGAGATGTTTTAGCAGTTCGGCCCTCAGGCTGACGGATTCTTGCTGAAAAAGACATTATTCCATTAAAATATTTTCCTAGGTGTGTAAGAATATGAAAACGTGTGAGAATTTTAGCATAAAATTGAAGCACACACAAATGGAAGTGTAGGCGCTCATGAAACCTGCTTAAAACGCTCTGTGCTGCTCGCTCAGTTTTATGCAAGTTTACTTATTTTCTCGTTAGGCAAACCTAAAAAGGATTAAAATAACCAATAATGGATTAGACAGATTTAGGCTAAGCTATTTAAAGACAAAGCAATGTTAATTAAACCGACTTTAAGTCATACAGATTAATCAGTGATGCTTTAGATGCTAGAAGATGAGAGAAGCCTGTCCAGAGATGAGAAGAACAATTCAAATGGTGGCTGATACCTTCGTTATTACCCTCTAGTGCTTCAAATAGAGGCACAATAAAGGACAGTCTGTGTGTGCTATAGCTAACGCTAAAGGCACATAAGCAGCTCTATACAATCGGGACAAGAAAGTGATGGTTTTGATACCTGGAGCTGAAAAGAGTTAACCTGTCAGGCCTATGAGCAGAGTTCACGACCATCCTCGACAGGGAGAGGTGAGTGGCAACACCACTTCCCACTGGTGTGAAATGCAGCATTATCTGCAGGATGCTGTTTCCACAGGACTTCAGGTGTAATCTAATGATCTCAGTGGATGAGATCCATGGTTTTAGTCAGAGATGCTCCCTTTTATCAACATTAGACACTACTGTGAATGTAATTATATTTTATAATCTGTGAAATAGTGTTAGCCCCTATTGCCATCTTACTGTATGACTTTATAGGTTGCCTAACCTAATGCTCAACTGTTACCCTTAGGGTGTTATGTGTTTTCTCATGGCGGGATACAGTGGCCGAAATGCAAAATGTCAGGATTTCATCTTGTTAATAAGAAATTTATGTAAATATTGTGGTATCTGTGGCTGCCCCATCCCTGGCAGTGTTCAAGGCCAGGTTGGACAGGGCTTGGAGCAACCTGCTTCAAGTGGAAGGTGTCCCTGCCCGTGACAGGGGGTTGGAACTGATGAGCTTTAAGGTCCCTTCCAACCTAAACCAGTCTGTGATTCTATGATTTATGATTTATTGAAAATGTAACAGGAGCTGTGGGAGAACTACAGCAAGAACTTGCTCTCAGGTGGGAATACATAACCAGCAGCTTGTTGGTCTATTTGAAAGAAATTGAACTTTCTTGAATTCAAAGGTAGCCAGTTCTAAAAAATAATATATATATATATATTAACGGTGTGAAGTGTTCATTTAGACTGGAGGGATTTACTCTGAAGATTTCCTTTGCTTTCTGAGCAAAACCAGCACTTGCTCATTCGTTCCCTTCCCCCCAGTTTCCCATTTCCACATGAAAACACAGAGCCCTCTGGAGCTGCTCTTACAGCACTATGGGAGATAATATTTAGGTCACTGGGTTTTAAAGCCTGTGCCAGTGGGAATCGTGCCGCTATCTCCAGAGCATGGGAGCCAGTCCTGAGTCATGGTGACCAGCAGCTACAGCCGGACACGTCCTTTTTTGGCAGGGTTTATGCATGATAACATTTTAACTTCCCCTTGGTACTGCCTTTTTGGTCATAGCTCCCTGAAACAAGCCAAAGGGGGGAAGCCGTTTGGTTCATTCCTGGTGCGATCGCAACGCGCTGGTAGCAGAGGCCGGCTGGAGCTGATGTTAGAGCTGACGTTGTTTCCTTTGTTGCTCCAGGGAAGGGAATTACTTCGCTGGCTTTGCCCTCTAGCGGCGACCCGCACGACCTCAGTGCTGCAAACCCCATTGCTTTTGTTTAATGCACGTCTATAAAATGGCTATTAAAAATATCCCCAAAAGCTGAGTAAAACCACAGTAAAGGTGCTTCTAGAGCTTTCCCATGACATTAGGAACAGCATTCCTCCATTAAAATATAAGATATTAAGATGTAAGGGAGAAGTTCTTTACTATGAAGGTGGTGAGGCACTGGAATGGGTTGCCCGGAGAAGTGGTAAATGCTCCATTCCTGGTAGTGTTTAAGGCCAGGCTGGATGGACTCTTTGGTGACATGGTTTAGTGTGTGGTGTCCCTGCCCATGGCAGGGGGTTGGAGCTAGAGGATCTTAAGGTCCTTTCCAGCCCTAACTATTCTACGATTCTGTGATTACTGCAAGAAGGAAACCATTGTTAGTAATTTATGAGGATTTTTTTCCAGTCACGTCCACACTGTGTGAAAAGGACAGTGGGAACTGGGGTGGAAAAATAGGCCCAGTGTCTGCCTGAGGGCTCTGATACTCTTTTGGAGAGCTCAGGGTACCTGCCCTAAGGGAGGAAGTTCGTTGACATGATACACAGGTGATGTCAGCCTCATGTTGTTCACAAAAACAACATCTTGCCTTCCCATAAACTGTATGTGCCTCGTTAGCAAAGACAAAGGCATCATAAATTATAGCGACAATGCAGAGCTGGGTTTCTTTTTCCTTTTCCCTAAGTGCCTGTCTCAGCAGAGAGCTATCATGACATGGGGAGAGGGCAGACTGAAGCATGGGGCTGCTTCTGCTGCCAACCCTGGAGCTGCAGCCTCCAGCTCTCTGGCTGCGAGGGCCGTCCCTTCTGGGCATTCCTTGGTGAAGTTGACAGTGGTTCTTCTCTTTTTGTGTTCTTATTAAGGAAAATTACTTTTCAGTTGTTTTGCCATCCTAAAGTAGCTGGTTCCCCTGTGGCAGTAGCCCCTGGGTCAGCTCAATGCCACGGATCCATCTCCTGGGCACACACAGGTAGTCAGAGAAGCCCTAAAATGCTAACACAGATAAGAGACTCCTCATACACCGATGCTCAGTATGGTTGTTCTTGACATGGCACCCCGAGGAGGTCCTGTGGGGTGACCTCACAATGACATCCACTGGCCGAGAAGGAACACCAAGCATGTCACGAGCTGTGTGCACTCCCACCATAACGCTGCTAAACTCTCTGGAGTCCTGCTCTCATTTCCACGCAGATGTGCTGGACCTGCCCTGAGCTCCTGGGCAGTCCTGTGCATGGCGTCGGGGTTAGGGTTACAGCAGGAGGGGTTGAGGCTCAGGCCTGAGCATCATCTGTCCTCTAGACAAGGATGGACTTAAGACTTAAACCCCATCCGGGGAATACCCGCCCCCGGACCCCCGGTGCCCGCCACCGCTCCGGGCCGGGCCGGCAGAGCCCACTCTAGCGGGGCGCCCGCTCCACGTGTCGGGGCCCTGCCGAGGAAGGGCGGTTCCTTCCCGGGCTACCAATCAGAGCGCCGGTTGCCGTTCGCACGAGCCAATCGGCGCTCGCGGAACGCACATTTAAACCCCGTTCCCAGGAGCGGAGACCACCTCGGTGTGACAGGGAGAGGGCGGGGTGCGGCTCTGCAAGCCAATCAGGGGGCGCGGCGGCGCTGATCAACACGTGGTTAAGCCAATGGGGTTGCCGAGGGGAGAGCGGCGTCTCCCTGCGGAGCGGTTGGCTTCGGCGGGGGAGCTCCTCGGGGACCGGCGGGGCAGCCCGGCTGCGGGGGGCCGCAGGGCGCCGGGCCGTGCCGCCGCCGGCATGGCAAAAGGTGCGCGGAGGCGCGGAACTGAACGGGGCGCGGAGGGGCTGTCGCTGCTAGGGTCGGGGCCGGGCGGCGCGGGGAACCTCCGCGACGCGGAGGCTCCTCCCGGGAGGTGCGGGACGCCGGGGCCGGCGGGACTCCTCCCCCGCGCAGTGTGCGCAGCTCGCCGGGAAGGGGCTGGGCCGCCGCGGCTCGCCCTGCCGCATCCAGCCCTTTAAACATGGCGCAGGCCGCGGCGGACGGGCGATGACCGCAGGCGGCCGCGCCGGACATGGCTCAGGCGCCGATCTTCCCCCCTTGCTCCTAGGGAGGAACATGCCCAAGGCCCGGGCGGGCGGCGCGGAGGAGGCGAGACTCGAAAGCGCCGAGAGGAAGGGCTCCGGCCGCCCCCGGGCCGGTGGGGTAAGCATGAGGGGGGCAGAGCGGGGCGGGCGGCTGCCTGGGGTCGGCTGCTCTCTCCGCTTCCCTCCGCGGGGCGTGCTGGCCGCCCCCAACACTGTGTGATGCCGGGCACAGGCGGTGGGGGCTCCCCGCATCGTTCAGAGATTTCTTAACCCTCAGTGGAACCGGTCTCTTTCCGCGTTTGCCCGTGCCCCCTCGCAGCTACGAGCATCCAGGCCCCGGGCTTGGCAATTCCCCTTTGACATCTCCCCCGTCCTGTTACGGGCGGCTGGCCGGAGGTTGGTCGTCACTTCTGATTTAATCCTCTATGGAAGTAATTGTGGCCATGGCATCTAATGCCGGAGCTCCTCAGCAGCCCCTATGCGCTCTGTTGCGCTGGGAAAGCCTCTGCTCTCGAGAGTCTCCAGACTGGCACAGACAAAGACGTGGCAGCCGCGTCTCAGCGCCAGGAGCACAGCAGGCAGGGAGCTGGGAACGCGAGAGAAAACCAGGCTGAAAAAATACTTGTTCGTTTCCTGTTCATGGTCTTTCAAAGCCAGAAGGCTGTGCTGGCAGGTGGGCTGCTGCAGTTCATGCTTCTGGCATTTCTCGGAAAATGCCCCTATTTAAACTCCTTGCTAAATCTTGACAACTTGGCAGTGCAGGGCTTGCTGCTTGCAGTTGTTAAAATGGAGTTTTCAAAATGTGTCATCCTTCAAAGCCCCATTTTTTAGTACCTCTTGTCTTTTATAGGCCTTTCAGAAATATTGGGTGTCAGGGAGTGACCTAATTTGCCTTTTTCCAGGCTGTTCTACTGCAACTGTAACCTTTAGTAAAGTTCATTTGTGGATCAAGATTTGAGCCTCTAACTGGTCTTATTTTGCATGTGAATTGTGTACCCATTAAGTTCGTTATGCATGATTATGTTAATTATTAAAATGATCCCATGTATTCTGTGGTGTGCTTTGTTTACTTTTTTTAGTGTTTATGTGACTATACTGGAGCACTTGTTTAGTGAGCTTTATTGGAGCTATTTTTTAACTAATGGGAATCTTTGTGTGCTTTTTTAAAGACATGAATGCGTGTTTTCGTTGTTTTAACTGGCTTGCAATGCCTGAAAATTGCTTTAGTTGAACCAAAATATAGCCAAGAGAAACTCACTCTGGCCAAGTTGCATCTGCTTGTGCAGAGGCTGAGGTTTAATGGTGGAAATCCCTGTCACCTCCATATGCTGCACAGCCAGATTTGGCGAGGTGGCAGGGGGACTGTAAGAGCAAAGGTGACACGACTCCTATACACTTTGCTAAACCTGATACCCCTCTCTCTTGGTACTCCTGGAGCCTGAGCCAGTGCACAAACCCCGCTCTCTGAGGTGTTTGACTATGCCAGCGGGTTTTACCATTCTCCTGGCTGGACATAAGCATGAGGACTCCGTAAAGCTACTTCTGCTGTGAACAACTTTTACACTTTATTTTGTGCAATACAGCAGTTTAAAAGCACTGTTGATCTCCCAGCCCTCACTGGGAGGTGTCACTCTGTAAAACTGATTTCCGTCTTCTGCAGTGCTAGCAGACCATATAATTAACTGCTGTAACATCTGACACCTCTTGAGAGCCTTTTGGTAAGCTCATAGCTCTCTGGCTATGAGAGGTATGTTCTAGGCTTGGGTGATTTTTGCTGTGTTATGTGTATTTTTTTTGGCTTGCGCTCTTTGAGGCCGCCTTCCTCCTGAGGAGCTCTGGGTTGGGGTTGTTTTTTAGCATCAGAGTTCGTACTGTGAAACACAGGGTGGGGGCTGGAATTAGTTGTGACTACCCCATCCTGTCACATCTCACGTGAAAGTCCTCTTGGACTGGGAGTTTGCATTAGTAAAGTGCTCTGAGTGTTCAACACTGTTATGTTTTCACTTAGTAGAAATAGCAACAGCAGCGAGGATGATGCATTAAAGCAGTGTAATACACACCGGCTCTCTGCAGTGTGTTGTGGATACCAGCTCAAAGTTCCCAACATCTCTGTGATGTATTGATTTTTGTGTGGGTCTGTTTTAGGAGAATGTGTTTATCGGTCAATCCAAAATCTACAGCTACCTGAATCCTTCCAAAACTCCTGGTGCTCGCCCCCCGCTTCAAGAAGAGAACTCTGTCATGTATCACGAGGTGAAATGTCAGGGCAAAACACTAAACAAAACCTGCAGGAAAGGAAATGGTAAGATTGATTTTTTTGTTTTGGATTGCTAACCCTGTTAAATATGCTCCCTCCACACCTCCCCCATTGGATAACTTAAATGTGCAGTCAAGAAGGCCACACAGCTCCACTGACCCAGTTGCTTTCCCAGTTCTACATCTCTGTCAGTAAACTGGGACTCTACACAGATGAATTTGTCCTTACCCTTCTCAGATATTAGGTCAGGGGTTTATCAGGCAATTTTCCTCCTGTCTTTTTTCTGGCTGTGTTTGTATTGTCTCTCTGGCTGTAAAAAGCTAATGATTGCATTGTCAGTATGCCCTAATCTCCAGTTCTATTGCTACTCTGCTGCTTCAGGTCAGTGTTTGGCAGCTTATCTGTATTTTTTGGTCTGTTTTATTACCTAAACCTGGTTTATTCAATCATTTAACTACTTTATACTAATTCTTATAAAGGCAATTTAAAGTCATGTCAATGAGGTAGAGGCACTTACAAAAGAAAATGCTTATGTTTTTAGAATGAAATAAAGGCAGTAAGAATGAGGACCACACATTGTGGATGCTGAGTGCCAGGCTTTAGGGATGCCTCACTGTAGTGACTAGAAATGGGAATGTTCCATAACTTTATGGAGGAGCTAAGAAAAAGGTTGGCTTGTGTTTAAAGGTGCATTTAATAACCTTGGTAATTTGTCAAAGCATTTTGATGCAAGCACTTTTAGCAAGCAGGTATTTTAAGTCCCACTCCACACAGGGAGTGAGAGATTTTCTGGAAACTTGAGGCCTTTTGCTCCAAATTTAGGTCCCCAGTTTTGACAAGAAAGTGATGGTGGCTTCACACAGCTTGTCCCACTGCTGTGGACTCACAGCTCTGTGTCATTTCTCCAGGGAGATAGAAGCATCTGTCTCAGCAGACTAGTCCCTTAAACCTGGGGATTTGCCTACATAAAAACTTTATTTAGCTTTAAACCAGGCTTGCCTGCCTCTAAATCAGTTAAGTGAGAAGGAGGATGTGGTCATATGAAGGTAGGACACATGCAACCAAGCAAGTGTTGGTTGTTTGTGGGGTAGACTTCTTTTAAGTGCCAACCCTTGAGCTCTAGTGTATTTTGTCTGAGTGGTGTTGGCCACTTGGTACCAATATCTGCATCTATTCATCACTGCAGTGTGGGATCCAGAAAGGTTTCCTCTCCTTCTCCACTGCAGGATGTTGATTAGCTTATGGCAACTTGTCATTTAGTATGGCAGAGGCACTTGGTGGCAAACTGCAGTTGTCTCAAGCACTGCACTGGAGGTGCTGCATGTTCGGGTTTGGAAAACCGAGTCGCAAACCTAACATGACAAAGCACCTGGGTTCTGTTTCACCTTCTCTCTCCTTACGCCTCCTCCCTCTGTACTATGTGTGCTGTAACAATGACTAGTTAAAAGCTGAGTAACAGCCTGTCTCTGCTCTCGCAGAAAGAGGTTGTATCATTCCCATCCTCTTTCTCCTGTTTGATGGAGCTAGAAACTTGGACTAGAAAACACTGGAATTCATTTAAAGCACTCTGGTGTAGTTGATCCCAAGTTCAGAGCCTTACTTTGTTTTCCCATCAGCAGGAAGAAAGAAGAGTGGCAATATAATTGAAGGTGCTATGAAACCAGAAGACCAGAAGGACAAAGAAGGTGGGTGCGATACTTCAGTGCCCTCCTCTGATCAAAACCAAGGAACTGCAGAAAGTCAAAAAACGCCTCTGCCGCCAGACTGTGCTGATGAGGTGAATGCAAAGCCAGCTCAGAAAAAGATGGTTAAAGCAAAACGTGGACCAAGGAGAAAGTAAGTGACTTCTGGAGTTGTAAATGCATTTCTTCCTTGTGTCATTTTGCACCAGGAAGCTTTGGTCTAAGTTTTTCCTTCAGGAACTACAGTTGGACCCATAATTAATGTTACTCTTGTTGCCTTTTTGTAAGCAAAACAAATGATTGTGTTGGGGAGAAGAAATCTTCAAAGTGACTTCTTTGTTTTCTCAAGAATAACATGTTTGAAATATAGAAATAGCATCCAAAGTATTTCTCTACCTTGCAGAGGACTTCTGGTTTTCTTGAAGGCAGGGCTGGTGCATCCTATCTCCAGTGAAATACTTACTGGTCACCTATAGAAAAAGAAATTAATGACCTATTAAGACCTACTTCTCTGTGGACAGAAACAGAACAGTTGAGGGCCTCCTGGCTGAGCTGATGCTTTCTCCTGATACCAAAGTGATGTGACCTAACATTAATGAGCAACTTTCCAAGCAGTTTTCATGACTTAAATTTTAGTGTGCCTTCTGGCAAAGCATGGCACAGAGGCTTCAGATTGTAGCGTGAGCATCGGGTAGTTTCCAGCAGCATTTCATTCTTGTTATTAATGACTTAGTACTAGAGTAACAAAAGAATGTGGGGAAGAGGATGTAGCTTTTGACTTAAAGTTTCTCATCTTCTGATAAACACTGATTGATCACCTTTCAACATACCAATGAAAACAAGAGTTTCTTACAGGACCTCTGTCCTACAGGTGTAACTTCACAAATAGCCTGAAATATGTGTTTTCTCTTTCTCTCTTCCCTTAGAACACAAGGAAGAACACCAAATCGAAAAGTAACAGATTATTACCCAGTTAGAAGAAGTTCCAGGAAGAGCAAATCTGAATTGGAGGTAGTGTTTCTTGTTAAAATAACATTACTTATAATATTGCTAGTTAATGGAACGCTTGAGAAAGGATGTAACTGTCTGTAAATGGTATCCACTGGCCAAATACAAACAGCATTATGATGAAAGTACTGTAGAGAACAGAAAACGTGGAAATGCTGGTTCAGTTCTTCTAGGACAGAATCTAGCTGCTTGTGTATTTTGGGGGGCAGAAATCTGTCTGTTTACCATTCAATTTTGCTAAAGATATGGGATGGTTTGGAAAAACTAGTGAATATTGTCTTTTCAGCTCTAGAATGAGCTGCAAAAGCTATCAACTATATTATGGTTTTGTTTGTTCTTGTTTCTTTTGCAGACTGAGGAGAGGAGGAAAATAGATGAGCTAATTACAAGTGGGAAGGAAGAAGGAATGAAGGTAACTACAGTATGTTGCTGTTAATCTGTTTAAGCAGAAAATAGCAGAACTCCTTCTCGGAGCTGCTGCAATTCCTTGGTAGTGAGATGAAAGTGCAGCAAAACTGAAGCACAATGCCTTCCTTTCTGGATGGGTGATATTTGTCCCTGAATAATATGTGCAGCCTCAGTCATAAATATATTGAGAGGGCTTTATAGTCTTTACTGAAAAGGCACTTGCTGCCTTTGGTATCCCATTTCTTGGGTTTGTTTCTAGAAATGGATTTGATACAGCATCTTAATTGTCATGTTTATATGCTCTGTATGGCAACAAATTCTCCTCGCACATTGACAGCCAGTCGCTGTGGGTCTTCATTATGGCTTTTGGGATAATGGCAAGGGCAGGACTAGTGAAGTACACTGGTGGGTGATCTTTCTGTGCCTCTAACTTCTTAAGCTGTCTATAATGGTGCCCATGAAATGAACATGCTGCCTCAGCTAATGGTTAGTTTAAAAGAAAAATAAGGTAACTCTGAGTATGGTTTACTTAAAGTAACAGTTCTTTGATTAGAAGACTTTGTATCAAAGCACTTGGTAACTCAGTGTGTCCCCCAAACATTTCTTCCAATATTTCCTATTTTTCTTCCTGTATTCCCAAATTTCTTCCACAGTGCTGTGCGTTGTGCTTCTGTGGCTTTGTCTGCAATACCCTGTGGTAGCAATTTTGACTGACAAATCCCTCACTCCCTAGTAAACAGCCTATTTGCAATCATGTAAATACTCTCTAATTTCCCAGCTGATTTTCCTTTCAACTTGACAGATTGATTACATCGATGGCAAAGGGAGAGGAGTAATTGCTACAAAAGAATTTAATCGAGGAGAATTTGTAGTTGAATATCATGGGGATCTCATAGAGATCACAGATGCTAAAAAGCGAGAAGCGGTGTATGCTCAAGACCCATCCACTGGCTGCTATATGTACTATTTTCAGTACCTCAGCAAAACGTACTGGTAAGCTTCTCTTTCGTGATAGTTGAGTGTGATAGTTGAGTGATTAGAGGCTTTGAATGCTGTGAAGTCTTGTTGGTTTCATGCAAAAAAAAATTAACAGGAACCATGGATTAGGAAGTCTTTGGGTGCTGTTTCATTGTCCAAGAGCATCCTGTACTTCTGGGCTAATAGCAATGGTAGGTGACTCAGAGGCCTATTCTCTGAGGTATAGCACAAGCTATAGGGAGAGCTATATTTGCTTGGATGAGACTTCCAGCTCTGCCACGGACTTCTGCCTAAATTTATTCTCTGTAAAGTTAACTACTTTTCCAGAGTTGCAAGGAGCTTGTTTGAAAAGCAGCATGGACAAACTCTCTGGAAGAGAAAGGTCTCCTTGAGCTGTTTGTGACCGAGTCTTCCCCTTTCTCTAGTGCCTGATACCCATCACATGTGTGTGCTTTATCCCTCTTGCTGTTTCATTTGCCCCAGACTCCAGTTCTCTCAAAGCAGCTACTCAGACTGTTCTTTCTTCTTGGGCTGATGCTACTGGAGTGTGGGTCACTAAACCTGTGTATTAATTATTTGGCAGTACCCTGCGTTCTAAGTGTCTGACTTGTCGTCTATAATGATAGCTGCAAAGAAGGACACTAAAGATTTAGTATCCAATCCCTGGAAGCTGGGCATCTAGTATTTAGACATTCACAGCCTTCTATGTGAGCAGAGACTCTTGCTGGCTTACTCAGCAGATATGACTCAGCTTGGACACAGCTTTCCTAAGGAGAAGATGTTTAAGGTGTTTCTGGTGGTGTTCTACATCTGGATTCTGCTGTTCCTTGTGAACAGTTGAGAGCCGCTTGGAAACAGGCAGCTCAAAGACACAGTCCATAGTTTTCCATTTTCAGGGTTTTGTGCTGACTTAAACACTTCTGGGAGCTTACTTACATGCCATATTATATGCAGTCTGTTTAATCATATAAATATATTCTGGTTTTCCTTTATTGTTTCAAGCCTTGTGTGGATTCCTCATTCTTTATCTGATTTGCACTTTGGGTTTTGGCCACATCATGACTGTGTGATATGCAGCAATCCTGCATTCTGTTCTTGTTCTTTCAGTGTTGATGCTACAAAAGAAACTAATCGCTTGGGAAGACTGATTAATCACAGCAAATGTGGCAATTGTCAAACAAAGCTTCATGACATTGACGGCGTGCCTCATCTCATACTCATAGCTTCCAGAGACATTAAAGCAGGTGAAGAACTGTTGTACGACTATGGAGACAGAAGCAAAGCTTCCATAGAAGCTCATCCATGGCTGAAACACTAATTCTTCATCTTAGTCTGGCTTTTTTTTTGTTTGGGACTGAGTGGGTCCACTGGCTCTACAAGGAGTCAGTGGATGGCTTCCCCCCCCCCCCCCCATCCTCACTTCCCTCAGCTTTCTTAGTGGACTGCTTATGGTGTTCTGAGCTCCTAAAAGGCTACCTTTTTGCTTTGCAGTATTTAAATGCCTATTACAGTTTTCCAGGCAGGCTTGAATAATTGATCTTAGATTGCCAAACCTTTTTATATCACAAAAGGAAACCCTTCCTAAAATTTGAGTACTTCTGCATAGTGACCGGTGCCACTTGAGCATGCAGTCAAAGACTTCCACAGAAACGTAACCACTTGGGTTGTGCTTCTGCTTTTGCAATGAAATCTCGTGCTCCACTTTGTGGGGTGATGAATTTGGCATTAGCTTTAGGACAGCAGATGTACTTCTGTACTCTGACTCGTACATCCAGTGGCTATACTGCTTGTCAGACTGTTCTTACAGCCTGGTGCTGACAGGCTTCTCTGAGATGGATGCTACTATTGTTCTCAAATAAGTTGTGATAGGGACCCAGTTCTTCCAGTATCTCATGTTGGCAGTGAACTTTAAATGCACTGGTGCTGAGGGGAAATCCATGGTCAAATTGGCTGCTTTCTTCAGAGAAATGACTCCAAGCCAAAGGAGGATGGATTTTGATAGGCTGGGTTGATACTGAATAGAAGTGTGAAGTTCTATCTTCACAGTGAGAATCAATGTTTGACATGACTTGTTTTCTACAATTGAAGAAGGTACCTTTTTATAGCTGATGGCTGGTTCTTGGAGGTGTCTTCCAGAGGGTTTTTAAGAAGGAAAAGCTCTCTCCAAAAAATTTTTTATTGCCTTCCTATGCTAATTAGCCACATCAGAAGCTATTTATTTACTGTGAATGCTTGAAGTAGAGCATAGCGCTTCCAAAAATAGGAGTCATCTTCATATGCAGCTTCAAACTGTAATGATGGAGTTGATGCAATGAAGAAAGTAGATTCCTTATTGCCTGGTCCTGTAGGTCTGTCAGCATGGTCCCACTGTCTTAAATGGGAGTTGAGTGCTCAGCATCTTGCAGATGTTTGTAACGTTACTGTTGGAGAACCAAATCTGTGATATAGGCGGGCAATACAATGCAGGTCCTTTATGTTAAAGATGAATTCTTACCAGTTGGAATTTTTGCCAAGGCAGGCTTGGCATGTGTGTAGATGAAAATGGCTGTGAGCCATCAGCCACGCTTGCTGCTGGAAGGGGTCAGCAAGGGATCTGTGGCTCTGTTAATGTCTTCTATTCCTCACGTCTTGAAGGCTGCTGCTGTTCCAGCTAATGCCCTCTAGGACAATCTTAGATGCTTGCCTATGTGATAGGTCAGATAGCAACAACATCCTGGTTGTATGCTCCAGCAGCAAGAGAGGTGGCTTAGTGATGTATTTTTTAAATTAAAAACTTGAAGACAATATCTCTGTAAAATAAAGAATATATTTATTATTGATGAAGTGGCTGCTATAGTACCTGTCTCCATTGCAGATTGTTAGCATTTGAAAGAAAGCTGTGAAAATCATTAGCCATTAAATGCTTTATATTATTTACTACTTAATACAAGGTCAGGGCTGGCCTATGTGTGTTCACCATTTCTGAGGAATTAACTGGAGACCTGTTACCTTACATATGAGTTACAGATAAGCTTCCTTGGCACACTCATTTGAGTTGGCACTGACTCTTCCCTGGTCTTGGTCTCTGGTAGCAGAGGCTACAGCAGTGTGTACAGGATCCTCCTGTACTAGAGCACTTCCCTTTAGTCAAAATTGGAATGAAATTTTTTTTCTCTTGATTTTATTTGAGCATTTACCTGTTCTCTATCAGGTTGAATAGCTTAAAACCTCTGTTCTTCCACATCACTTTTGTAAACAAGAAAGGGGGAAGATCTCTCCCTGTTTTATATAATAGGAAAATTGTCTTCTCTGAAATGCTTAACTGGTAATCAAGTAGCACTGCATTGGAAGATGGTAATAAAGCTGATGTTGCACTGCATATGTATCCTTTACTTTTTTAGAAGCTGATATACAGAGATCACATATATATATATGTATATATCAAATACTCCCACTTTTTTTATAAAACACATCTTAAATGGTAAACTGGAAAGAATAATTTCAGCTTTCATTATTGTCTCCTTCCCCGAACTGCAGAGTGGCCTAAGGCTACAGCAGAGTGTTCTGTGCCTCTGTGGGAGGCTGTTACTTTTGCACAGCTCTGTGTAATTTGTGCAGTTTATTACCTGAAGTTGTTTCATTAAGACTTCATAGAGTGATTGGTGTGTTTGGGGACATAATTCCCCCTCTCCTTTTAATGGAGATCGGAAAGTGCATCCCTGGATAAACCCCAGAAGAGGATGGAGCTCAGAGCATAGGTAAACATCTCTTTTCAGCTTGGGGGTGTATCCTGGCTGGTGCTGATGCATGACTGGGTCTTTTCTTTTCTTTCTCCAAGCACAAAGCCTGTGCTAAAGAAATGCAGTAACTTCCTTCCCTGCTCCCATGCTCTAGAAAATACATGACAGGGACACAGCCAAGGCTTATGAGTATTCTGAAGATGGCAAAATGACTTCAGCAGTTGTGTGCCCCAGCTAAACCAGCTTGCTCAGGTCAGACATCTGTCATATTGCTTTGCTAATGTACAGTTGCTAACAAATTGTTTTTGAAAGTAGTCCACAGTTCTGCTAAGCCACGCGCACATTGTGCATCTGAGCAGATGCACAGTGATGTGCCCTATATTTTTCATGCTGCTCATGTATGAGAGGGAATCAAAAGATTTCAGAGCCTACTTTTACTTCTGAAGGCAGTCAGATCATGGTTTGATACCTGTTACTGCCCTTTTTATGTCTGTTCAGACTTGTTTGCTCTGGAAATTCTATCCTTCTAAATGTGGAACCTAATTGGTATCTTTCACATTTCTTTTACTACTCCTCTGTTTGTCCCATATGCTTCACTAGGGATAAATCTCATTACTGGTACTAATACACTGTTTGTGACAGTTGACTGAAAGAACAGAGCTTATGAAAAATACAGCTGTGTACCACAGGGGCCCTTTAGCTGTCAAAAATGGAGTGTTTGGTTCATCTGTTCCAGTTTGAGCATGTCTGCACCTCTGAGAAGACATCAATGCTTCCTGTGGGCAGAGCATGATGCAGCAGCATTTATTCCCTTACTATGCTCTCTGCTGCTGTCTTCCATCCTGACCCCAAAAATCCACTCCTGCCTGGGCAGGGGTTTTGTTATTGCAGCCCAACTTCATCTTCATTTGGTGAGGTGTGGTGTGACAGGCGCCTGCTGCCTGTGTATTGCCCATCTGATGTAAAGACACACAAGAAAAAGCAGTACTGGGGTTTTCTTCAAGTGGTTCTCTTAGTGTAAGGTAACTCTCTGCATAAGAGCAGTGGAGGCTGCAGCCCAAACGGATTCCTCGTTCCCAGTGCTCCTCTGTGAATGGTGTGTGTCTCCTAACAGTATTTTCCTCCTGTAGGATCAATAGGGCTGAGCGTTTTGGTACAGAGAAAGGAAAAATAAGTGGTAGAATGGTTTGGGTTGGAAGGGACCTCAAAGCTCATCCACTTCTAAACCCTGCCATGGGCAGGGACACCTTCCACTAGAGCAGGCTGCTCCAAGCCCCATCCAACCTGGCCTTGAACATTGCCAGGGATGGGGTACCCACAGGTTCTCTGGGCACCCTGTGCCAGTGCCTTAGCACCCTCAAAGGGAAGAATTTCTTCTTAATGTCTAACCTAAATCTCCCCTCTGTCAGTTTAAAACCATTCCCCCTTGTCCTATCACTATATGCCCTTGTAAAAAGTCATCACCACAGGCTCTTTTAATAAGAATAAAAACCACCTTTGTATAAACATTTATTTTCTACATGTGTGAAACATCTGGCAGGAATCTAAGAAATACAAAATGTGTCAAACAGTTTCTAAAAAAGCCAAGTAAAATCTGTTCTGACAGAATATTGTACAACGTGATTGTGATGAGATTGCTTATTCTCTACAGTAAGTGATGATTTTTCTTCCAGTCATTAACTCCCCCAACACCCTGGTGGCTCTCAGCAGCTCCAGTTCTGCGCAGGAGTGGTTGAGTTCTTGAGGATGCTCATTTTCCATGTTTAAAAGAGAACCTAAAAAAAAAAGAGAAATAAAACTACAACAACAAAAAGGAAACAACAATGTACAACTGGAAAAGGAGGAACAGCCCCTGAGGCAGCTCTGTCAATGTGTTCTGCTATTTTGGGGAACTTTAGGCACACGGCATGAGCGTGTGGATACTCCGTGCGGTTGCCTTGTCCAGTGGGAGCCTCCAGGGCCAGCCAGCATGTTCCCACAGCACAGGCTGTGTGTGCTAGCAGGGGAGGCCAGGGGCACATAGTTTTCCTCTGAAATGCTTATTTTTCCTAGAAAAAAGAAGTGAGGCCCCACTGGCCTGGGTGGAGGCTGCATCCTATGGAGTGCTTTTTACACAGGAAAGGACTTCTCTATCAGATTTTAATTTTGCAGGGAGAGGAGGAGAAAGCGATAAGCAGCCAAGTAGGCTAAAGTTCAGAATTCATCCCTGGATTCACCAAGCATGAAGCTTGCCATATTCTCCCATAAAATAACATGCAGACACAAACTTACAGCCGTTTGATGATTGTCTTCTCCTCGCTGTCCTTGCTGGGGCCAGAGCTGCTGCCCCTGGCTTCTTTTGCCATTTCTTCAGTTTGGTCCTTTCTCTGTTGGATGATCCCACTGGGAAAAGAAGAGCGTTTATTTATTAAGTTTTTGTGGTTTTGTGCATAGTATGGTATTGCATCTAAAACCCTTCACAGGACAGGAGCAGCAGCCTGGCCTATTGTAACGAATTGCTCTTATTTTCCCTAAGTACTGTAACATAATTTTGCTTAGGCTGTGCTTTAATGAGAACACTACAAAGGTAATGAGCTCAGTTCTCCACAGAGGAAGAATGGCAAATATCATGAATATCATCATGAAATATGAACAGGAATGACAGGGAAGTGTAATCACATGTTGGATTTGTACAAAAGCCCAAAGAATAGTAGGGTGCAGAGGCAAATGGTGAATTTCTGCATGGGTGGATCTGTAGCACCTTCAGTGCAGCCATGAAAGCTCCCACTATGCAGCAGGGAACAGATGGGAGATTCCCAGCTTCCCTGCAGGACATCTGTCTGTTCTTCTTCCCATCTTACAGAGGAGAAGCAGATTCCGTCATCTTACTCCATTGCTGCTACACTCTGCAAGGTTGTAACCACCTCTTTCAGGCAAAAGCTTCAGTTCTACCAAGAGCTGTTTCCCTGGCTTGGAATGGGAATAGATTTTTACCAGCTGACACACAACACTGTTTTCACAGTGTGCCTTTGCTGTCCTGAGCTGACCTCATTTATCTTGAGAGCTGAGGGGACCAAAGCTTATGCCTGCAGTAGCTGAAGGCTGGAAGTAGCAAAGCGACACTCATCTGGACCTTGGAAGTACAAATACAGGAGAGTATCTAGAAACTGGTGTGACATCAGGCACAGGATGATTCTGGGACAGATTCTCCTCTTAGAGAAATGGGACTATGAGCTGTTTGGTGACTGCAGATCCAGCTTCTACTTAGAGATCATGATTTGAGGTGCAATCCCCAAACATCAGTCATTTTCCATTGTTCTGTGTAAGGACATCAGTTACCTTGTGCTATATACAACTTATTTCCAATATACACAAGCCATTTTAGAACATATAGTTATGCTCTTCCACTGCACAGCTACTCTTTATGGCCATACGTTATAATGAGGATTTTATGTGCATTTTTAAGGGGGTGATGGTTTTTGGTTTAAGATGTAATCTTGTAAACAGAGATAACCATGTAGGATTACTTGAATGGAAAAGCAGGCCTTTAGGTGCACAGCACTGTGACTTGTATCGCTCAAAACCTGAAACATTCATACTGTTAATGTTTAACTTGGCCTGTTAACAGCTGGGAGGTCAAAGCATGAAGGCATTGCAGTGGGCACACAGGAAAGGCAGGCAGCGGAGCAGGGGGAGCAGTGTGTCGTCATGCTGTGAGAAGTCCTGTTGAGCAGTTTGTAAACTTACTTCTTAGATTTAACTTTAACTTCTTGGCTTAACCTGCCTGTTACAGATAATGCAAAGGGGGGGTTACTGTATCTAACAGGATTTTGCTGAGGCATCTCAACTGAGATCCAATGCACTCAGATATTTTGTGTCTAGATGAAGTAGCTTCTTGCCCCGAAGAGTTGATAATACAGATGAGGAACCCAGGATGGGGGACAGCAGCCTTAGGGGGTGAAGGAATTTGTAGCAAGGTCCTCCTTGCATCCCATCCTCAGGCTCAGACTGATTCACTGATCTGGGTTTCTAGACCAAAACCCTGCTCAAAAAGTCCTTGTTTGGCACAGTTCAGGTACCTCACATAACCCTCCGGTGGCAGTCTTAAAACAAAAACCCCACAGCTTATCTTAAATGATGATGAAAGAGCTTAATATTCTTTCCAGATCAATCCATACCCAGTGTAGGAGGAGCAAGGAACAGTAGCTAAGCTAACATCCCCCTTGGCAAGCTAGAAGAGGAAAGAGATTTTAACTAAAGAGATGGAAACCCCCGTGCTCTCTGGTACGTGGCGTTAGACAGGAAGAGTGTGCATGCGACTGCTGTGACTGCGGGGGTGAATTCATGTGTGTGAGAACCCAGCTTGTGTGTGGAGTGGGAGTAACTTATATAGGTTACAGAAGCAGGCTGTGAACTGTGCAGAGTAAGAGGGACTTGATTTTCAAAGTATGATGCATAGAGACTTCATTTCCCTGTTTTCCTTTACTCATTTGTAGGGTTTTAGGAGCACAGATGTTTATCACATCTGGACAGTGCCCAGCCCAATCTAAGTGCTCACACCTGCAATATTCTGATTTTATAAGCTTATAAGAATTGTTATTAGTTCTTTGCTGACCTCTTATAGCACTGTAGCTCCTCTTGCACCACCAGAAGCTGAGCTTTCAGCTGGTTACGCTCCTGCAGCACATCTCGCAGCTCCTGCAGTGTGAACCGGGGGCGATTGGGGTCTGTGAGGTCTATGACCATTTTATCTGGTCCAAGGCTGAGCTGTAAAAAACGGTGGTGGTCATCACCTTGTGACCTGTCAAACCCAAGGCACTCATAGAGTAAAGCCTCTTAATTTTATGAGTATTTAGTAATTCTTAGAACTAGTAGGATTTCATCAGAATCCTGATTTTTCCCAAGCAATTAATTAGAGCTTTTCCTACTATTTTTGTATTCCCTTGGTGACCGCATTTCCCAGCCAGTACAGGGCCTGACTGTGACGAGCTCCAACCACAGCTAAAAGCAAAGTCTCTGTCCCAAAGAATTTGCAATCTACTTTGCCTAAAAGCTGCTTTTATCTGCTCTTCTGATGACCAGAAAGGCTGAGCAATCTGTCTAGTATCACAGCAAAACTCTGTGGCAGAGAGAGGTAAGAACTGAATTCGCCTTTCCTCATTTAAGACCTTTGTGGCAATGGCTTTTTGGGTCACAGACACCAGTTTCTCTTTCAGAGAAACAAAGCTTTAGTGTTTGCACCTATGGCAGGCTGGTTTTATGGGACCAGTGCTGTGTGAGAGCTGAGCAACGGTGGATTTGTGTGCTGAAAACCTGTCTGTATGTGTGAACTTCACTAGCACAGCACCAAGCGGTTAGTCACAAACGTGAAACAGAAGTGAGGGATCCACAGCGCTGTGCCTTGCCACAGCCCTGAAGATCTCTGATCAGGAAACGGCTTCAAGACCTTCTAGAAAGACCAGAAGTGAACTTTGAGACTTGTTCTGCTGTGGTGAAGAGCCTGGCAGTTACGGCAGCAGTTCTGTCTGACCCATCTGGTGTCAGGATGGGTTTCAGGACGTGCATGTGGCCGAGGGGACAGACCACGACCGTGTTGGGGCACCTCGAAGCTGCAGCGCCAGGGCCGAGGCGCCGGTCCCTGCAGTGCAGCATGGTGTGTGTTGCACGGTGGGCACCCACCTGCGGGGCGCTCCCCCGGTCCGCCCCTCGCCGCAGCTCCTCCAGCTCCCGCCGCAGGCTGTCCCGCTCCAGGCGCAGCTGCTCCTCGGCGAGGCTGCTCTCGCTCACCAGCGCTTCCAGCATCTCCAGCACCCTCACGATCCTGAACTGCAGCCGGGCCAGGGCGGCGGGCACCAGCGGGCCGGTGCTGAGCTGCAGCAGGTCGCGGCCCACCACGGAGGAGATGTCATAGACATCGCCGGCAGTCAGCTCGAACGGGCTCTTCTCCAGAGCCCTCTCCGGGCCGATGTCCTCCTCCTCCTCCTCCTGCAGCTCCTCCTCCCGGCCCTGCTGCATGCCCGGCCGCTAACCTCCTCCCCGGTGCTCGGCCGGGCCGGGCCGGGCGCTGCTGCCGCCGGGCCCCGCGGGCAGAGCGGCCCCTCCCGCCGGCGGCGGTTTCCATGGAGGAGGCCGCGGCTCGGCCGCGCTTCCCGCCCTGCCCCTTCCCTTCCCGCCCTGCCCCTTCCCCTCAGCAGACACCGCCTGCTCGCCCGCCTTCCGCCGCCGGTGGCTTCGGAGTCCTCGCTCTGCACCGGGGTGGGCACCGAACCGAGCTGGGCGGGGAGGGAGGGAGGGAGGTGAACGCACCGGGGGTTCCTTAACGCCACATTCGGCAGGCGCCGTGGCGGAGCGGCTCCTGGGCGCGGGGCCGGGGGATGGCGGCGGCGCCGCTCCGGGGACGGGGGTAAATGAGCAGCGGCGGGAGCCGGCTCCGCTCTGCCCGGCCTCTGACCACGGCAGCCGGGCGAGGAGACCGCGGGTTCCTTCAGCGGGGTACGGGGCAGAGCCCGCAGGTGAAGGCCGGAGCGGCGGGTCCCCTCAGCCTGAGGCGGATCCAGGCTCTCCGGCATGTTGAGGTGAAGTCAAACCAGCGCCGCTGCTGTTCTGTTTGAGTTGGTCCCGCTTTTCGGGAGTTTGGGATGAAAATACCGGTGAGTCTGTATTTTTATGTATTTTGTGTGGTTTCCCCCACTAGACGATGAACGACTGGGCGCCCATCGCAAAGGAGTATGACCCGCTCAAAGCCGGGAGCATTGATGGCACAGATGAGGAGCCCCACGACCGTGCCATATGGAGGGCTATGCTGGCACGCTATGTACCCAACAAGGGAGTTACAGGAGACCCTCACCTCACCCTGTTTGTAGCAAGGCTCAATCTTCAGACAACAGAAGAGAAGTTAAAGGAGGTGTTTTCCCGCTATGGAGACGTCAGAAAGCTCCGTCTGGTTCGAGACCTGGTCACGGGGTTTTCCAAGGGATATGCATTTATTGAGTACAAAGAGGAGCGAGCCCTCATGAAGGCCCACAGAGACGCCAACAGGCTGGTTATCGATCAGCATGAGATCTTTGTGGACTTTGAACTGGAAAGAACTCTCAAAGGATGGATTCCTCGGAGGCTTGGAGGTGGTTTTGGAGGCAAGAAAGAATCTGGGCAGCTCCGGTTTGGAGGACGGGACAGACCTTTCCGAAAGCCCATCAATCTGCCAAACATGAAAAGTGATTTCTATGGAGAAGGATCAGCAGAGAAAAGAAATTGGTCTCGTGAGGGATCAAGGGACTGGAGAACAAGGGACCGAGACCACGACAGGAGCAGAGACAAGCGGTGGCCAGAAAGGGAGCGGTCGTGGACCTGGGGTGAAAGCGAGAGGGACTCCAAAGAGGAGAGGAGCAGAGGGAGGGAGAGGAAGGACAGAGACAGGAAGGACAGGGATAGAGACCGGAGCAGGGAAAGAGATTCCAAGAAGCAAAGAGATGATGACAAGCACCGGTAGGTGACAGTGCCTTGGCACTGGGCTGTGTAACCTGCTCTTACATCCACAGGGTTCCAGCTGCAGGGGCTGTGAGTGGTGTTCCCAGACTCCCCTGCTAGAAGCTCTCTATAGTTTGGCTGCTGATGCAGTTGAGGTATGTGTTGAATTGTTCTTCAGAGGAAATAAACTTTTATAGTCATATTTTTGAACTGGTGAATGCTGTCAGAAAGGCCCCACATGTGTGGGCATCCCTCTGAAACTGAGTGCACACCCCAGCTGATACCCATCTGGCTGCCTTGTTAGGGTTCAGGAGAGAGCTCCCTGTTTAAGTATTTATGTGCCAGATGTCCACAGTCATTCAGTGAGACATGCTCCTGATGAAACAGTCACTTGTTGGAGAAACAGTAATGGAACAGCAGCAAACTCAGCTTCTGAGAAATGTGCCCCAAACCAGAAGCTGAGAAGTGATGTTATTTTCTTGAGCACACGTGAGATCTTGAGTAGTTCTGTGTCCTTAACTAGATCTACAAAGTGAGGGAGAAGCACATAACAAGAAATGTGGGGTTTTTTTGTATCATGGGAGAATGCACTTCCTTTGATTAGAGGAATGTACTCTGCAGAGGAATGTGCACTGCAGAGCAATGAGCAGATCAGGTTCCTTATCAGTCCGTGCACTCTTCTCACTGCGAGTGGTTTCCTGCCTGCACAGGGTTTAAATGCTGCTCTGGAAGCGGGGCTGGCTGCTGCCTGTAGTGGAACTGGGGAAGCAGAGGGCAAAGCACCTCCTTTTTCAGAGCCTCTGTACAGAGACACCCATCTTCCACTGAGAAGCGCACGGTGCATTCCAGTAAAGGTGTTCTTTGTCATCATGAGCCATTCCTAAATATTTGCTAATGTATTTTAAACTATAGTTTTTTTGGTCAGCCTTTGAATGACCATGTCCTAAACCTCTTCTAAACCTTGCCCAGTTTGAGGCTTTATTTCCACAAAGAGTTGGATGAGCCTTTTCAGGGGAGGGAAAACAAACCCATATATTGCATCCCCAAGGAGAGATGGTACTAACTTCCCACAAGAAAAAGGATTCAGGTGTTGCAGAAATTCTCAGTTTTTCAGAAATATTTATTAAACTGTTAAAATGATTTACTGCCCAACCAAAAAAAAAAAAACCAAAACAAAACAAAAGCAAAAAACAACCCAAAAAAGTCAGTGATCCTGCACGCTGCAGATGGGATATTGCTGCACCCCTCACCCGACAGGTCCTGGCCCCTCCTCTAAAAGCAGATTTTACTTGAGAAACAATATATAGCAGAGCCTGAAATCTTTACATCCTCTTCCCTACCTGCCATCCTTTCTGATGGCACTTGGAGTGTGTAAACTCAGCATTTCCAACAGAGGATGAGGAGTGAAGTGGTTAACAGCTGATTTTGATTCTGAGGTACCAGGCTAGAGATGAATGGGGGAAGGTCACACTGCTCAGTGCTGCTGTTGGAAACTGGCTGCAGGTTTGAGGTGGCAGCAGTGCTGTGGTGTATGGGACAAGCTTTACGTGCAGGAGGCCAGGAGCTATCCTGTGTAATGCACAGCTGAGGTGCTGGGACATCAGTTCTGTCTGTGTGTTTCTGTTACCCCAGCTCATTGCTCTCAGCTGATTGCAGAAACAATGTGCTTATTCAGGCCATGTGTCTGCTGCATTCTTGCATTGTTTCTGATTACTGCATCTATTCTAAATGTGCCAAACAACTGTAAACTATGCTAGGGAGAGGCTTGATGGGAATCATTCAGTATTTAACTGCCTGATATAACTGTAGTGTATTTATTTTTTTCTCTAATATGGAAGTGAAATCGAGATCTGAGCAATAGAAGGTATTCCCCCCACTTAAGAACTGCTTTTCACACAAGGGAGGAAGTGCTGCTGTTTTATGGATACATCTTCTGCAAGCATAAAACTTAAGAGATGTTACCAAAACATAACCAGGCAAAACCTTATCTGCCTAATCCTAATGCTACCAACACTGTTTCAGATGCAGGTGTGTTTCATATTAAGACCACACATCCTCTGCCATACCAGTGTGGCACAGGAGACATTTCACCTAAACACAGGGAAGGTCTGTGTTCAAAATGGAGCAGGGTTACGGTCAGGAGTGAAGCAGCATCCAGCCCACCCTTGCAAAGCATGGTTTCCTGGCACAGTGTCACTCCAGATGGGCTCACACACACTGAAGAATCCAGAGTCCTGGATCACACTGTATTAAAAACAACTGGCATGTGCTAAACCCTTGTCTCACTGTCACCTAAGAGACCTTTGGGACTGCCTCCTACGTTCAGTACCTGGAGTAGTTGGAGCTTTACTCCAGCCTGAGCATTGTCTCCTGTTGTTAGTGCCACTCCTGAGAAGAGGCTCTTTACAGAGCAGATGTAGTTGCTGGGGGTGAAGCCCCCTACACTAAGCTACATGCGCAGAAGTTGCCTACAGCCAGCTCCTCACCAGCAGCACGTGCTCCAGCACACAGCCAAGGGCACAGAATGACCCCAGCACCTCTCTCATACACAGCCATGGATGTGCTCACCCTCTCCTGCCTGGTTGGGTGCCTTCATGGAGTGTGGTGCAGAGGCAGGGTGAGAGCTGACACCCAGCTGTACTGACAGTTACACCACACGGGGCTCTAGTGTCATGGTTTTTCTAAGTACAACCTCAGTGAGCCTCAAAGGTCCCACAAGCTCATTTGCAAAGCGGATCTAAATCCCACCTCCCAGCAGTTCAGCTGTGCTGGGATTTTACTGGCAAGTAAAGGCCCTATAACCACAGGTTACCCAGACATCAGCCACCACCAGCAGAGCAGCCTGCACATACAGAAGTAGTGTTGAGATCAGTTAGAGAAAGCATTTTGAGCTGGGGTCATGTCTTAAGTCAGTTAAAATAGCTCATGTCAGCTTGCTGAGGGTGTCTTTTACTCTCAAGTTAGGCAATCTTATCTACATAGAGAAGTGGCGTGTGACTTTATTAAAAACCTGTCTGTGGGAAAGAGATCTAATTCCTTGACAGCAGCTGCCTGCTGCTCTAGGGGGAAGTCCCTGGTAAGAAGGAAAGAATTCAAGTGTTTGAATTCCTCCTTATAAGCAACTTGTTTTCCATTACCACTGCAGACCTCATGGCAAAACACAAGGCACGCTCACCTCCTACATCAGTTTCTTCATGCTTTAGGCACTATAAGCAGCAGGGAAATGTACACGCACTGTCCCTCTCAGGGCTACTCCAGTTTATCTGTTTGTGTTGGGTGGATTTCCAAGCCGCTCCTTTGCAGAATGCAGATGTCAGCTGAACGTGACAGGACACAGCAGCGCCGTGACCTGCTGTGGAGCGGCAGCCGTGTGTCCCTCTTGAAAAGGTTCTTGCCAAAAGAAAAAGCAAACAACCAATAGTGTTAACAATCAGGGTAAAAGAGTCTTTGCCACTAGATATTGTACACTGCAAACAACCTCTAATAATGGCACAGGTCCTTTTTTGGTTTAAAGAAGCTTGTGTTACTGTAGTTAATGCATGACCAAGACCATAGACTTGTTATTCAGCACAAAACAAGTCGTCTAGAAGCTTCGGTGTCCCAGGGCATCAGCGACTGTTCACTACAAAGCTTGGATTCTGTTTCCAGCAAACAGTCACCATGCAAACAGTGAGGAGTCCCTCTTGAAGAGTCCATCTCAAACACACTGAGGTGCACAAGGCAAATGAAAGTGATGAGCTGCCAGATTTTGGTTACAGAAGCTTCTTGTTACTGGAGTGTTGAGGTCTACTGTGGTAAACAGAACACCTCAAGGCTTTAGTCACAGGTGCTGCAGGGCTTCTTGTCCTTGCTCGGTGTAGGAGTCATCTTTATGTGAATTTGACCATTCTCCAAAAGTATCCTGGAAGTGGACATTTTTCTGTGCTGCCTGCATGCGTTTCTTATCCCGATAGAAGAAACTAAACCTTCCAGGGAGGGAGGGGAGGGAAAAGAAAGAACACCATTTACAGTCTTGAAACCACTTCAAACACCCGCCCCGATACACAGCACAACAAAACAGAGCAAAGAATCTGTTTGCATCGGCAAAACTCAAGGCAGTGAAGCCTGATGGGGTGCATGTCAGAATGTTATTAGAGATGAAGTCATTGCAATCTCAAGCAGTTTGGCTATGGAAGTGGTTCATTCAAATAAGCTCTAAATGCTGTTGACTCTACAAGGTGCAGATATCATTTTCAATGTATATTCCCCCTTCTCCAGCCCCAAGGTAAAGAAGCGACACGATACATGTTAGTTTCTTGGCATAAAGAAAGTGGTATCTTTGGCATTAAATCTGGATAATTTACCAGACAGCAGAAATAGATCGTGTTTTTAAGGGTGTCAGCAGGGAAGTTCATAAGATAAGAAAATACAGCCTCCACTTTTTGTTTCCAAGTGTACAGAATCTGATACGTAGACTTGGTTCCTGCAAACCCAACTGAGTAAATGCACGTGTGCACACCAGAGCTTGCAGGATGAAGGCTCTAACCCAATGCACACGAGTGTGCACGTCATTTCCTGTCACACAGCTTGGGTGCTCTAAGAGAATGACGTACATGAACCAACAGCCATTTAATACAACAACAAACTGCCAGCTGCCAACACAGCTAAGAAAATACAGCCCCCAAATCCTTAGTATCAGTTTATTTGTAAAGGATGAAGTTACTTGACCAGGCAAATTCAGTGTTTGTCATGGGGTCAGTACAAGAGGTGTTAGTGTGGTGTTTACGTCAGCTGAGAAATACAGAAGTTGTGGTCCCAGCTAGCAAAGGTTTGAAGTGGCTGCAGACCCATTGGGTTTAACAGGGCACTTAAGGAGTTAAATATTGGTTGGGTTGCACAATACCCAGCAAAATGCAGTTGTGAATGACACAGAAACTGCTAAATGCCTCTGCAGGAAGAGACTATGCAAATATAAACACAACTTTGACAGGCTATTAAGATGGCCCCAGCCTCAGCATCCTTCCTGCACACCCCGAGCCTCCCCTCAAGTATGACCATCCTGACCATCCAAACCACCTCATGTGGACCAGGGAGTTCTGCCTTCAATGTCTCTAGGCATAGAGGAGGCTGTATTTGGGTGTCAGGTGAGGTTTAAGGCAGCTTTCCTGAAAAAATACCCTATCACACATGCAGGGAAGCATGGCAATATCAAGAATATTAAGAATAAATTTTTTTTTACTAGAAAGCAATACAAAAAGCTACACAAGTGCAATGCCAGATGACTAACGTTGCTAGCAGGACCTGAACTTCTACATTTCCCGGCTTTGAATATGCAGCCTTAATAGTAAAATAAGTCTTTTGCACTTAATTAGCCTCATCATTTTCTACCACCTTCATTACAGGAGCTTATAAATCTGTACAATGCTGTGTCTTTTCAGGGCCAGATCCAATTCCAGCTGATAAAGGAAGTGTGTAGTCACTGAGGCGTTCTGCTGAGCGTGTCTGGTTCTGCCTGCTCAGCCTTGCTATTGTGACGTCCACACAAAGGACTGCTGTATTAATGCAGTAAGTTTCAAATGTCAAAGTTTAGTAATTTTTCACTTTATCATTAAATTGAGTAAGAGAAAAACATGCTTGAAAATCTCTGCAGGAAGCAGAAGGCTTTCTAATTCCTTCTGAAACAATGAAAATTGTTATTATGCCATGAAAATTCTCATGGAGGAGGTCTGGAAAAAGCATGTCTATGTGGAGAGGAAGGGAATTTAAACACTGTGTTGCTGCTGCCAATATAAAGATCACTAAAGCAGCAGTTCTAATGCAAAGAGATTGTGTGTTAACAGCTATCAGTACATCTTCCAGAGACAGCCAAGGATAGAATAATAGAATTGATTATTGGGAGTGTAAACTCTGTTCTGAAATACATAATTAGAGACAAAATATACAGTGCATAGATAGAAAGACATGGAAGCAACAGCCTATAATTAACACTGGAAATTAATATAGATCCCAGCCATTATACTCTGTAAATCTAACAAACTGATTTGTAACAAGTCATTAGAGTGACAGGGGTTTCTTAAACAGCAGTGGTGTGAATTGTGAATAGACACGCTGAGTAAGCAAAAGTAACAGATGCTGGTTAAAAATCACATATTGCAGCAACTTCCTCAGGAGTAATGATTGGTTTAGCATGGTACATTAGGGCAAAAGTGATCAAATGTCAGTACTGGAGGATTAGCATGGAGAGGACTATGATGAGTTGTGTACTGACTGGTCATTCTGATTGGCACTTTGTTCTTCTGTGATCCCACAGGCAGCCGATGAGAATGCAACCAGCAGTGCATGTTAACACGGGGTCATGCAAAAGGAAACCACAGTACCAAACAGTATTACAAAACAATTCCTACAAGGGACACAAGTCTTCTTATTGGCTGCAATGTGGGATCGTCTGGAATCAATCCAGCTGCTACCATGGGCATTATGGCTGTAAAGATCCTGGTCAGGAAAGTACAGACACAGAAGAGGTAAGACTGGAGCAAGGGAAAGAAAAAGCATTCCATTAAAAAGAAAAGAGGCAAACATGATACACGGGGTTACTTTGAATTACCACACAGGACATGTAACAGGGAGAGGTGGATCTGCATCACCCAAGACAGCTCTCCTCAGTGAAAAACCCGTATTTAGGAAAAGCAGTCACTGTAACCATTTCAATTGCTTTTGAATTTCTAAAAGATACCACTTTTGTGTTGTGAGGCAGCCTGCGATCTGGGCTGGGTTTCATCGTGTTACCACCTCTAGCAATGCAGAGCAGAGTGCACATTGTTCTTCCCAAGAGACAAACAGGCACAAACATAACGAGATGAAAGATGAAGGTGTATGTTAAGAAATACCAAACAGGACTCTGCTGTGACTACTGGATATTTGCACAGAAAACAGGGTTAGGTAGGACCAGCATTGCAGTTAACCATTTTACAAAGGTTACAGCTGATAGTTTCCAGTTAAAAAACAGGATTGCAGGTAAAATACTGAAGTAACCTCCTATGTGAGCTACTTGGTTAAAGGGCCTGTGTATCTGTTCCAAGAGGACCTGCATTATTGCTTCACATGCAGAAAGATGCCAACTGCAGGCAACTAAGTACTTATATGAAACCTTGCAGCTACCCTGGCAGAAACACTTTCTAGCTGACCACAGCAAGGCTGTTTCTTTGTCATTCAGCACTTTCACTATGCATTATACAACTCATGCAGCTTCAAGGTTGAGAGCACGCTGTGGGGGGTGCTCTGCGCCCAGCCAGCCCCACGCAAACCTGCCAACACACCTTCATCCATACCTGGGACACCCTCTGTTTCCTAAGGATTCTCCTCAGAGCTTCTCCCTTGTGCCAAATATTTTTTTGAACTGTGGACTAATGTCAATTAAAGATTAAGTTGAAATCACAAGAGGCATTTTGTGACCAAACGCAGCTCTCCCCAACACAGTCACTCTTAACTGCTATTCTTACATTGGAAATGAACACAAACAAGCAAACGTTGTATCATTAGCAGTAACTAGGACTTCTATTTTTACACGTGGCACGGTCTGTGAGCTGCAGAAATGACACAGACACATCAGCTTTTGTAGACTGCAAGAATAGGAGGAAAACTTATGGCTGCTTCAGGCATTACGTCAGTGACAAACAAGCATGTATACTTAAAAGGGAAAACAAAACAGCGTTTTCTGCTCAAAACAGAGGGAGCATTTTTAATCCTTGTACTCTTCCTCCTCAGTGAAGCCCCCTGGTTGCACTGTTTCATCAAAACTCTGCCATGTGATGTGGTAGAGACAAGTGTAGAAATCAAGCAGCCTGAGATCACAGCTCAGAGTTTGCCCCCACATGCTGATTTCTGTAGCTTCCGTTTTCCTTCCTTTATGGAGATGCAGCACAGAGTCACCTGAGCACGCCTCAGATGGCTCAGGCTACATGTACATATGTCTTATTCCCCGAAATGCTGTGTGGTGAAGGAAGAAGGGGAACATTACCCAGGCAAGCATAAAGCTTCTCTGGAGAGGACAGCATCAGTGCCTCCTATTTTTGTACTTCAGCTTTTTGTTTAATCAGGAGGAAAAGTCTTGTCCTGGGTTCACAAGAAGTCTTAAGCAGGGGAAAAGCAACCCTGCTTTCTTTCATTTATAAAGGCACTCTGTGTGCAGATATCAGCACTACAGGTTTTCATTGCATCATTAGGTGTGGAGGGGATTTATGTGGCAGTGTTACCCAGGTAATTGTATGGCAAGGGGCTAACAGCACCCAGCCTGGGAGAGGGGAAGGGAGCTCAGGAGACAGCTCACAGCAGGCACAGACTGCAGGAGGAGCAGGAGGGGTGTGTACCAGGACAGATGCTACACTTGGGTTGTTTGGTTTTTCCAGCAGTGAAATTTCCTGTCTTTCTAAAGCCCATGTACAAGTACAGTGTTGACAACACACACAGGGAGGAGGGGGGAAAGAAAAGAAACACACCAGACAAATCTTATCCAGACAGGCTGCAAGAATAAGATAAATCTGACAACTATCACCAGTCTTCAGGTTACTTAAGTAGAAAGTTTTATCTTCCCTTATTTAATATGATGGCTAAAGGAAGAGAGAGTAGACAGAGACAGAGCATCACAGCTAAAGAAAGTAATTTCATCTTAACAGCAGGCTCAGTATGTGCTTCCACTGCCTGGCAGGAAAGGACTCTTGCCTTTTCTGAAAGGGACCCAACCATGATTTTGTGGCTTATTGTGTGTGGGTTTAGTTCTATGAATTTAACACAGAATCTGAGAAGCAGAAAGATTGGGCAGGTGTCTGAAAACGTGCATTGACTGATGCTGAACCTCTTTGCACCAGTAAGTTAACTGAGAGAAAGAAAGCACTCAGATAAGTGGTTGAACACACTTACATGCCTCCTGCCATGGCTCCCTGTGTTGCCCACACGCGTGCAGAGGGCAGAGTCAAAGCTAACACCTCCTTAGTGTGTGCTCTGTCTTACAATGTCTGTTTACATTTTTATGCTGTCTTTGCTTCATATATCAAGCATGGAAACTGCCATCCCCTCAAACAGTGTCAGCTGAAACCAGCCACTCCCATCAATGGGATAAGCTTTAAAAAGTACTAAAATATTAGAAGAGAAGCTTTACAGTGGAAATCTCATGAAATGAAGCATTATCATCGTCACAGCCACAGGATGAAAGTCCAAACTCAAAAGTGTTTTTTCTAGTCATGTGAGGGGAAGAGTTCTCTCAACAAACACAGCAAAAATAATCAGAAGAGCCCTCCTGACTTTATGGTGTTTTGGATCAGAGCAGCTCTTCCAATGGAACTTGCTCTCACAGGGCTGCTGCTATTATTAAACAAGGATGGAAGGTTCTGGACATGGGGGCAGGATGGAAGGGCTTTTTATGTGGAAACAAAGGGCTGTTCCAAAGATCATTTATGCAGTTAAAAAAGTTAAGCTTCCAGTCCCACAAAAATCCAAAGACTTGCTGCAAGATTACAAGACTTAATTTGGAATAAATAAATGTATAAGGAGGGAGTTTCACCAGATAGATGGACTGGCTAACACTGATTTTATAATTGATACAAGTAAATGCACACCTCTGACAGTAAGCTTAGGTTTTGGGCAGCAACATGAAATACTTCACCAGAAGAAGGTGGGATTCTTACACCCAAGGAAGCTGGAATCCTCTCCAGCAGCAAATCTGTTCAGCAAACAAAGGTTTTTGTGCTGTACACGTAGTGCAAGTCAGGCTCTAAAGGCTTAGTTCAACAAGGAAACAGGCACAGCGAGGTTGTGAGGAAGCCTTGTTCTGCAAACCCAACTGCCACAGTGCTGCCCCTGACTTTACTTGTGAACAATGCTCTTCACATGTCTTCCGAGCACGATGTGGGTTTCTGACACTCCATCACCTTAGGGTCAGTGTGTTAAGGAACTGGGACTTGCACCTGAACAGGAGCATTGTTCCTGCAGTCCTCGCACACTGAGATCCAGCACCAACTTCAGTTTTGGGCACACAGGACAGGTTGAGAGGTGCTCTGGTGAAGACCACCATCAGGAGCACCTCTCTTTGGAGTATGACTATGCAGCCCAGACAAGAAGATTCCCTAGGAAGATCAGTGTCTGTGTTTAACATCTCATACCAGCTATAACCAAACACTGCAACACAGGCTCTTTCAGTTAGCCTGAAGAGTGTACTTAAGAAGGAATCATTAGAACTGGAGTGGGCACAGCAGTCTGGCCACAGACAAGCACATGGAGCACTGCTGGACTCCCCGCTGCTCTCTGCATTTAGGGAGCAAAAGGTGCCACAGGAAATAATCCGAGACAAAAGTTGTCCCAGAAATAGGCAGCAGTTTTGGCCAAAGCTGACTTCTGTTTGCTGATAGCTGTCATGTGCTCCCTCAGTGTCTCTCCCATATCCATTAGGGATGTCGTTGTCTTCATTGTTAAATTCTTTAAAACTGTCCTACCCTCAAGAGACACTTGTTGTTTGCAGACTATTTCCAGTATCCTTAGAAAATAGGCTACTTACAGTCGTTTGATTCCAGATTCAGGCTGAGTTGAGGGTTTAGGCTGAATTATGGGTGTAGGTTGAGGGGATCTCATTTCTTCTTCAGTTTCCTCACTTGAAAGAAAGAAACAACAATGAATGTTCTCCTCCCAAGCCATGGAAGCACCTTAAGTTTTAAAATGAAATCTGAGATAATGCTGTTGGTGAAGACATGCAAAAAGATCTGTTCAAAGCTCATTGGAAACATCTCCCATGGATTTCATCAACCAAGGGACAGCACCTAGAACTGGGTCTCCTTTCAATATTGTCTTTCCACCTGACAAGGAGAGGGAGAAGAGGAATGCATTGAATAAAAGTTCTAAAGTTTTCATTTTAGATCCATTCTTGTCCTCATTTTTGCATTCAAAAGTGTTAAATATTTGTAATCATTCTAAAGTTCAGGGGAACCTGGGAATTAGGGAAGGACATAGTTTTTCCCACTATGAGGAACCAGATTCAAACTAAAGCCATATGCTTGCAATCTCTACTTGAAGCCTTTGTAGATGTACAAGCTTGTTGGACACTATTGCAGAGCACATCTAGACCTGCCCTATGGCTCCTCTGTGTCTAGCATGCAACAGCAGAGGAGCTCTAACCTACCTTTTGTAGTATAAAAGCTCCTCCTGAAGTAAAAACACTTTAGATTTCAATTCATTCCTCTCATGAAGGACATCCCGGAGCTCCTGCAAGGTGAATCTTGGACGATTGGGATCTTTTAAGTCCAATGCCATCTTCTCTGAGTCGGAGAGGCAGTCATCATTGTTGGGTTCTGCCTAGGAAGTGAAACGTGGGCTTTAACTTCACCATGCGAGTGCACACCTGAGCAGTTGGAAGTATTTATCCATCTAGTTCCCAACTTCCTTTCAGCATTATTAAATCCTCTTTTAAGAGAGACACACCAATTTTAAGAGGAAAAATAAAGAAGGAATTAGTTTTTCCTGTGACAGACTCTCAGCAAGAACAGCTCCGTGAGCTGAGGAGCTAAGTACTGAAGTTCTTAAGCAGAGCCCGTTTTTTGTAGGCCTGATCCTACCCTCTTTTAAGCTCATGTGTTTGTGGAACAGTTTTACTGTCTGTTGGTACCTGACTTCAGGTTAACCTTGGCTAGGCTAAGGTTGGTGCAGTATCAATTTCTACAGCAGGGATTGCAGCCCTTGTCCTGCAGACAGAGCAGCAGAGCAGCGTGCACTTGTCCTTCCGTTTGATTCACCCCATTCATCCAAACACACTTGTTTAAAAGACTGGTGCAACCTAACAAGAGGCTCAAAGGAAACTACCCAAACACTTTCTTCACCCCTCTAGATTAGGGTCTGAGCTGACGCCTTTTCTTTCAGTTTGCCCCACACCTTTGCCCAAATAAGCTATTTTTGCTAGATTTTGCTCAAATCAGCACAGACTGAGCACCTGTAGCCAGTGCAAATGTCTTGATTGAGCCAACAAGCAATGTCCATTCCAGAGTATGCAGCTATTCCAGCTTCCTGCTTGCCACTGCAATTCCTGTCTAGCCATCATCCTGGCAAAGAGAGTGGGGAAGGGCTCTAATTAGAAGAGATGCCATTGCCATGGAACTGATGAGTTACAGAGAGGTAGAGAATGCATCCTTTCTCTCAGAGACTGAAGGCACTTTCACTCCTGCTGGCTCCAGGCCGAGGCTCTGCAGCCCCATATACAAAGCTGGGTGTCCTGGCTGAATTAACAGCAATGAAACAATCCTTTTCATTATTAATACAGTGCTTGCCCAATTCGGCAGTGACATGTTAACACAGCACTGGCTGTCACATTCCAGGGGGGACCAGGGGACCCCATCAGCCTTTGCCTCCACTTGTTGATGTATATTCCTGCCTACTACAAGTGAATTGGATGTGTCAGTCTGCTGCAGTCTATCAGGCATTTATGATACTGCTTGGTACTGGAGCAGTCACCAATGCATCCAGCCTGCATGATAGTGCTCCTCTAAGTTCTTTCATATCATGATGCCCCTTATCCTATTTTGTACTTTTCTAAGAGCGACATTAGGAAAGCAAAATACAGCATATTTGCTTTACTAAGGCAGAAGCAGTGTCATATGCACAAAGGAAAAATAGTAGGAACCATAAAGAGGAGTAAAGGATGCAACAGATCAGGGATGCATCCTTTTCTCAGGAAGCTCCCCTCAGGTTAGAATAAAGAATAGTTAAGGTGCTTTCCAACCCTAACTATTCAATGATTCCGAGTTGTATCCCTGCTGCTCTGACCTCAGCACCAAATCAATTTGCAGATTTGTCTCTGCCTGTTCCTGCAAGCACTTGAGTACCCAAGCAGTAACATTTGCTTTTCATGGGCATTTGCACTGGTAACACTTCACTGCACAAATTCTAACAGGAAGCAAAAGCAGAACTAAGGCCAAAGTTGGGTTCCTCTAAAAGATGCCTTCAAATATTTATGTGTTGATTTGAGAGCAATAGACCAACTTAGTCCTAACAGATCAAAAGTGCCATAAGCACTGCGAGGACCAAGTGTGCAGGTTCTGCATTGCCTCTGGGACTGCTTTTGACAACAGTTTCTTTTCTACTGTGGTTCACATGCCACCACCATCATGGTGCACTGCTCTCTTGGGACCCATCAGAGCTCACATGTTTGTATGCTCAGCAGAGTTTAAGCTACTTGCCAGCTGCTTATCTACTGGAAACCCCAGACTGTTCAAGGATGGGTTTGTTTTCCTTTGGAGGAAAGGATTGATATGGACAAACAAAATGAGGCCAAACATACCAAACATTAGTGCTACTAAACCACTGTCTGCCTTCAGTACAAACTAACAGCTGATGCTCCAGTGATTTGGGATTGATTCATGTTGGTTTTAATAGAACACTCTCTTTTGAAGCAATGATTTGTTAATAGTTGGTGAATTCTGCAGCCTCATTCATGACCAAAACGCTGCACTCCCAAGGCTGTATGATGGGTAGCCAAGTCTAAGGGGAGAGCTGCTGTCTAATGCAGACATCCCACTGCCTTCTGTGAGACCGGTTCCCTCCTTCAGGAAGGAGAGGTCATCATCCACCTTATGGGGCCTTTCCTGCTCTCTGTATGTCACACCTGATCACAAGATGCTGTCCTCAACTCCCACCATTGCCTCCGATGTGCATCAATCACATTTATCCAACAAGGTACTTGGGATGAATTCCAAACCTTTTATAAAGGCTGTTTACAAAGTGATTTAAAGTGCCTCTTACCTTCACTTCCTCCCCATTCTGGCTGTCCTCACCCTGCAGTTTTTCTCTCAGTCTCCCCAGCTCTGCTCTCAGGTTGCCCATCTCCTGCTCCTTGGTTTGAAGATAAGCTTCTAACTCCACCTTCTGCTCGATCAGCGCCTTCCCCTGAGCCTCAACAACAGTGATGCGGTGCCGCAGGTCGTGGTTGATCTTCATTAACCTGTTTTGTTGCTGCTGAAGCTGCAAAATATGGATGCAATAAGTCAGCATCCATTCAGTCATGATGGCCAAGTCCCAAACATCATGTTAAAGGAAAAATAGTGGGTTCCTGTTGAATTTCATCTGGAAAATTCTCCTTCCTTACTCCCATTGTTTTTTAATATCTAATTATCTACTACAGTTACAGTCACCAAAACTTAACTGATTTCTAGAGTAAAGAGGCATTTTCCTCCAGCTAATCCATCACTTCTTGAAACATATGTTTCAAAAGAGCAAAGTTCAGCGATAGGGATTATGGAATTCTGAATCAAATCTTAACCCAGAGTACAAGAGAGAAAGACAAAACAGAGGAATCCTCATATTCAATATATGAGTACTTCATACTCCAACTTTGCTTTTTGCTCTTAGGCTCTCATAAGGCAGGCTGTGACCTGCAAGCCACTTCATGGGCAGCACCAGTGTGAGAGGCCACAGCACTTGCCAGAGGCACTTGGTTGGAGCAGGGATTATCTAGGTCTGGCCCTCGCTAGCACAGAGAAGTCCCATGGCCTCAGGAGATGAGGCAGCATGAGGATGGGAAGCAAAATATGGGTAAGGAGGTCATTCCTCCTGACACAGAAAGAGCCAAGACATCATGTGATTCCCACAGTCACAGTGGAGTCTGTGATTCATCAAGACTAAAGCCGGATCTCTTGTGCTATGGTCCCTAGGAACACCCATCCTCTCTCGGTGACATTCTGGCCAAAGTAAGTGACCTGGGCTGAGCTCAGGCCCTTCCTCCTCTCCCTTCCTGTGCAAAGAAGTAATCCAAATTGCAGCCCTGGTGTGGGAGTGCGTGTGTGGGGTCCAGCTGCCAAACTCTGCAGAGAGTACCTGTAAAACATACAGCAGCTCGCTCACCTCAGCAGGGATTCCTTGGTGGTGCTGAGGAGGTTTGCACTGCCAAAGCAGAGAGAGATACAAGAAGCCAGGGTAGGTTCCCTGTCCTGTTCCCATGGAAGGGGAGAGCTATGAGGTCCTTTAGGAAACAAACAAAACAAGCTGTCCTTCCCCCGTCTTCCTCTCTTGTTACACTGGTTTCCAGTCACTTCCAAGTGTGGCTGGTCTTTATGGACTCAGCAGAGGGTGTGTGTCTGCTCCCTAATGGTTTTGGACACTCCATAGTTATGCTGGACACGTCAGTTACCGGACTAATCATCTGGCATTGCTTACAGATCCTACACTGATTTAAAACTGAACCCAGGCTGTGGAAGTATGGACGAGAAAGAAGAGAAATAGGAAGACTCAGAGCCACTTACAGCCTCTACATCCTCATTTTTAAGTCCGAGTTCCCGGTCCTTTGCTCTGATTTCATCCCTCTGTTTATCTACCACTTCCTTCAGCTTCTTCATGACTTGCCGCTCTCTCTCTGACATTCCTGGTTAAAAAAAGAACACAGGAAAAAACCTGAGGACAATGAGAAGCTGCTGAGACTGGAACAATAGTGAGAGATATTTAGGTAAAGACCCTGGAAGTTGCCTGCTGGTAGAATTACAGAGATGCTGCTGGAAGATGCTTTAAGGATTACTTCAAGGGTAACAGGGAACATAGATGACACAATCCACTCCGTAAAGCCACTGCACAGGAAGTCCTTAAAGAAGGAACCGACAGTCCTCAGAAATATTTATAACAGTGGAGTGACACGGATACCTCTTGGTGCCTCTGCAGTTTGACATCAGTGTTCGCAGTATGCCCCAAGGAGCTTGGTTATTGTGTGATGATCTGTGGAATCAGCTGGCCAGGACCCTGATGGGGTAAAAAGGATGGTCTGGATCCTCAGCAAGCTCTAACCAACATGTCCCTGCTGTGGATTGCACTTAGATCCAAACCAGCTGAGGAGTGCTGGACTAGAATGATTCTATGTTAAAACCCAATTCAAAAAGGAGAGGAAGCAGGGCCTTCAGAGCATACCTGCACCCTGAATCTAGAGCAGACATTTAATCTGAATTATGGTCATACATTTTCTCCTCATATTTTGCAACCCTATTGCATTCTTCTGTTATTTGCTATAGATAATTGGGAACTGGCACTGCAGTGATGGGCTTGTCAGAGCAAAACCAGAGATGATTGAACTTGGTGTGATAATAAATCTACTTCCCTAGCCTTTCCTGGAAACTGCACAGGCAGTTTGATGGTCCTAAACTATCGCATAAAATCATGTAGCACAACATCCCATAGGATGGCTTGAAAATAAAAGCCTGTGACCAGGGCAGTGTGTGGCTGCTCTGTCCTAAGTTCAATCCAAGCAGGAGCTCAAATCCAGCGTCTGTTCTGGTTCTATAACCTTTGGCAAACTAGTTAGTTACATGGGTCCTCAGCTTCCTCCATTTATGAACTGCAGGTGGTGACTTCACTCACCCATCTGGGGTGGCTGGAAAGCCACTTTCTTTTCAACATATTAAAGCAGTTCCCACATCAGAAATACGTTGCATACACATCAAATGTATCCAGCCAGTCAGGCCTTTGCTTTCTAACATCAGCTCATCAGACTTTCTGATCCCTTCATCAGAGATATCAAAAGTTGCTCCCAAAGAGAATGTAGGCTGCACGCCTTGAGGAACTCCAGCTTACAGATCACCTACAGTTGGAACTGATGGATAAGACAGTAAAGCAAGACAAACTTGAGAGAAGGAGAGAGAAAGGCAGTAACTGTGCACTCCTGCAGAGCTGTGGGTTGCCATGCAGGCATAAGAAAAGCACAGCACTGCAAACAAGGGGAACAGCAGCTCTGATCCCTCACCACTGAAGGACCAGAGCTATGGTAGAGCAGAGAACAGGAAACCACTCTGCTGGAAAGAAAACTGGTGATCATGATGGCTGGGAATTCAGTTCAGAGTACATGTTCCTCTCAAACCCTAGAAAAGAGCCGAGTGTGACATGCTGTTCATCTTCTAGTATTACATTCTCATCTCTTTTAATTCAGTGGTAGGTTTGAGTGCTCTGTTTTGGGACCCTGGCTCTTATCACCTCTCTGCTCTAGGTTCTAGTTCTTTGCAAGGTAAATTTAATTCTTCACTGTGGTAACAGCTCAATAGCCACCAAGGGAGGACAAGTAGACACTGACACTGCTGCTTAACACGTCTGGTACCGCACTGTGTGCACAAATCTCATTTACAGGTTCCTGGATGCACCCTCTGCTGGGGCCTAAAGCATCAGCTGTATTTAAAAACAAATAAAGACCCCCAAATTCTGCCTTGAAGTACAGAGGGACTGCAGTGAAACTTTAGACTGGTGGTGTCACCCCAGCAGGAGCTAGGAATAGTGAGTGCACCTATATTCATTAGTACTTGTGAGATGTTTTGAGATCTCTGGAGAGCAGGTGCTATTTAAAGAATAAAGTACCGTTTCAGTGCTGACTGCTTTTCCTCCCACTGTGCTCATTTTTTCTCCTTAACATTTGGTGAACCCAAAAGCCTTCAATTGTGTGCACAGATCACTACATTATCATTTTCCTTTCAAGAGGAGGAGAAAGGAAAGGTGGGAAGTGTTTGTGAATCAGTCACATCTTCTTCCATTTCCTCAGGCACTGGGTAAGAGGGAGGGAAATCACTAAGTGCCCTAAATGTAAAGTCATTATCTCTAAATGATTCAAACTCTAGCAACTGCAAGGTCTGAAACGGCACACCCAGCTGGCTTCCTATGGCATATCCTATGAGCAGCTTCCTGTGCACTGCTGTGATCGCAGCATTGTTCAAGCAAGAGAAAGGAAAGCAGCTGGGGGAGAGGAGAAGTTAAAAGGCTGAAAAAAAGAAGGAAAAATAACATCTTTTATGCTTAGGGACCCATTTAGTGTTGTGTCACATCTATCCCAACAGGCCAAAGTGCCAGGCAGGACCTGTGGCACTGTACCACTACCTAAATACTCAGACTGGAAGCTTGCCTGCACTTCTGAAAGGGAGTTGTAGGTTCCTCAGCAGCCCAGCACAAGAGGTTCACGCAACCATTGACATCCTGCTGCCTGTCTGCATTGCCACAGCCAGCCTGAGGCAGCAGCTCCCCTCGCTGCAGTGGAACAGCAGCCTGCTTGTCCTGTTTGCCACACATTGGGTCAAGTTTACTTGTGGCAATTTACTAGGATATTCCAATCAGTCAGCACCATCGGTTTGAGCTTGGGAGGAGCAGCATTAATGGAGGTTGCAGACTCATCTTTCACCCCAGCTGTGTGTTTTATATTCTGCTACATGTCCTTTCACGCAAACCCTGCTCTGCGCAGTGCAGAACACTCCTGTTTAGATAGGACTGCCTCTGCCTCTCTCCTAAACACCCTCATTATGCTACAGCCAGGCTCTGTGAACTGACGTGACTGTTAATTCACAAGATTGGGTCTCAAAGTCTTGCACATTCAATCACTGGCCTCTGTTGCCTGTGCTAAAAATAACTCCTTTAGCTGCCTGGTGAGTAAGCAGCAAGCTGTTAATCCCAGGGGCTAGCCACTGAGGGGAGACATGATCACAATACTAAATCATGCTGAGATAGGAAGACTGGAGTGTGGTCACAGCCCAGCTAACAAAGTATTTAGCTTGAAAGCCTGCCTCTGCCTCTACGTGTATCAGATCAAATGATGGAGACTGAAAAAGGCAGAGTGACTGCTTTTGACATTATCCAGATGAGTCATCTGGGACAAATCTATCCCCATTCATTAATGACAAAATTGCCTAAAAGGAAAACAGTTGGGTTTGATATCACAGGCCCCAATAATAAGATGAGGTTGCTATAAATTAATATGATTTAATTGAAACTGATAATTTTCTCCAAAGACTATCAGTGAACCCAGAACATGATCTCTGGAATGGGTTTATAGGTTTTGTTTGTGTTATCATACTTGGGTAGACAGTAAAAATAACATGAAAAGCATGCCTGGCATTTGCTTGGCTGGCTGGATGTGGAGAGTATGGCTATATTTAAATACAAGCACATGAGCTGCAGTGAGGGAGATACCCACTGGAAGGAAAAAACCCAAAGACAAACCAAAGGGGAAGCTGGTTCTTTATAATGAGATGTCAGTCTTCATGGTCCATGACTCAACGCTGCCATCCTAAAATGCTGCATGGAGTTTGTGAGGCTGATACTGAGCCCTCTCTTTGTCAATAACTGACTCCTAAATTCAAAGTGTTGCATTTGCTTTTTAAAAAAGTGGAGATTTTGAGGTTTAATAATTCTAGCTTTTTGAAGATTCCATTACACTCCTCCCCAGGGTAAGTGGGGAGAAAGCAAAACCAAGTGCAACCTCCGCAGTGCTGGATAGGGTTTCATCCACCTGCAGCAAGCCTCCATCTAATCCCAACCTCTGGCATCTGCACAAGGACACCTAACACTTTGTTCCTAACACTTTACTGGAGAGCTACAATGGCTCAGCTGTGTGCTCTTGTTTCCAGCCCAGCCAGTGACTTTGCACACTACACACAGGGTGCTACACTTTGGAGGGAGCTAGGACTTTACTGACCATCAGAACCTACTGAAAGTGGAGCTGTGGCTTGAAGCAGTGGACCATGGTCCTCTCCATGCACATCCACTTCCACACTGACTTACCATCACCAGCATGTTTTGCTGTTAGCATTCTCAGCTGTCTACCCCATCTCTGGGCTCAGGGCTGCCTCATCCCCAAACCTGCACAACACCTCAGCTTAAATCTCAGCAAAGTATGATGAAATAGACTTGGTATCTAGCAGCCTAAATTATGTGCTAGGAACTGTGGAGCAAGTAGATATCTGTTCACCTGCTCTGGGGAAAGAGCTGTTTGCTGACCTGGGTGGAAGCTTGAATTGCTGCAGTGGACTCTACCTGTACTTCCAACTCAGAATCTTGTATCTTGGTTGGACGAAGCCTTGGGTGTGATGGTTTAGTGTGAGGTGTCCCTGCTCATGGCAGGGGGGTTGGAACTGTATGATCTTAAGGTCCTTTCCAACCCTAACTATTCTGTGATTCTATGATCTTGAACTTCATTCTGCCTCAAGAAAGAAGCTGCTCACAAAGTGGCTGTTTCAGCTGTTCTGGATTCATCCACTCCCTGGATTATAAATCTCTTCACTTACTCTAAATTGCTTTTAAGTACCAAACAAGTGAGGAACGCTAAAGGCAGGTAAACCAAATCAAACCAATCACTCCTGTTATAGGAGAATTGTCCTAGAATATCTCCCTATTGGAGACTGATATAATTCAGACTAAGAATCTTGATTTGCTGCTTTACAGTTACCCTGAATAGATCAACATTTGCACTTATTTTTGTGCATAATGGTGTGAACTAAACTGCTGAATGGATTATTCTGTTTGCATTAGGAATCACAAGGAGGGTTTAAGAATGGGTTTTGCAAAGTGTTAACTAAAAAGAAACAAAGTGATAGACTAAAAATTGAAGCTAGGCTTTAGTTTCAGATATGCTCCTCTTCCAAATAAAAACTTGTTCAGGCTTTTCTTCCCCTCCTGTTTCCACCTCTTATCATGTCTTTGGTGCCACCATGTCATCAGAGATGTTCTATTAGGTAAAAAAATAACCAAAACTACAAACCAAAAACCCAGACAACCCCCCCAACCCAGACCTGCATTAATCTATAGGAAAAGAGCCAGAATATCCAGTCAAAACATTCTGATCAAGTATTGCTTTTTATAACAAAAGCACGTACTGCATTTGAAGTATCAAACTTGCCTTCATGCTTCTGAAATTCCTCTTCTGTGAAATTAATGTCTTTGTGAGACAAGTTTGTCATCAGTTGTTTATTCTCCTCCTGCAGCTGTGCAATCTGAGTAAGGAGGTCCTGTGCCTCCCCTCTCCAGACATCCTCCACCAGTTCTAATTCCTAAAGGGTAGATCAGGACAACACATTTATACTTTTAAACACGTGAAGAGCCTTTGACTCGACTATTTACAGATCAAACTAACAATCCTACTGTGATTTGTATAGAAAACAGTTAAAGGAGACTAGAATTCCTTAGAAGACATCTACATTTCTAATGCTAGCATCCAGGCATCCACACATGAGGAGACAATTCCTCATGCAAACATTTCTGACATGCACATTACCCACAGGATGGTTTCTTAGGCCCCATTTTGCTGCAAGGGCCAGGTTAAGGGGACTGCTGTGTTAGAAAAGGTAACTGAATGTGAGCAACCATTACCTCCTGCATCCCAGGAGGTAGCACAAAAGCTGTTATAAATGCCCCAGAAACATCACACAGCACAGCACAGCCCAGGAGAACCAGCGCTGCTCCTTTTGAAAGAGCTGCATCTGTAGTCTAACGCTGTGTTATGAAACACAAGTGTAAAATAATGAGAGCAGCAAACCCAGAGCTCCCAGTCCACATCATAAACACAAAGCTGCTGCTTCTTATGTAAATTGTTCTACATGGAATGCCTTGAGTGGCATCTGTGTTAGCAGCAGTGAGACCAGTCAAAACAGCTCCCATGTGTCGGGACACTGTGTGTCAAGAGCAGCTGTCACCAATCCCTGTAAAGGTCAAATTAGGACAAAAAGTATACAGTCCTCAAGGAAAAAGGGTTGTATTTAGAGCTTTACGTGTTCCAAAAGCCTTTGCTGTAAATCATACTTGTGCAGTGAGGGGCATTCTCTGCCCCATTTTCATGTATGTGCTTCAAACACGAAAGCTGCATGCAGATCACTGGAGCCAGGCTGAGTCACTTGCTGACTTGTGCATCCAGCCAGCATGTCCTCTCCTACCTAACAACAAAACACATGCAGACAACAACCCTGCCAGGCACAGCTCTCAGCTAAAATAAGCTCTGCTGAGAGATTAAAGGGTAGCTTTCTGCTCTGAATGTATGCTCTGATAATGGGAAATCATGTTCCTATTGACTGTGGGGTCCAAATGCCATTTTATTGTGGCATTTATTACTACATTGCTGTGATTTTAGAACACTTATTTAAGAATTATGCAGAAAATACTGTAGTACTGTATAGGCTGTCAGCTTAATTATCAAGAAAACCTTTATTTTACTTGAAACTCTTTATCTTCAGAATATAAAAGCAAATCTGCAAGGAAATGTATATTGCCAAATAGCTATTACAGTGCTGCTGCCTATTACAACTCTGTAGCTAGAATAACGCAGTGACCTACTTCAGCTAAGAAAACAGCACATTCATCAGTTATGAGCATTCTGATAAAACCAAAATAGAACCAACACAGAAACCCAAACTAGCTAAACTTCTATTGTTAATGTGTGGCTGCAATGTAAACACACAGCTATACCACAGTGTGCCTGGGCAAGCTTTCCTATTTCTTGCTATTGAAGAGCCCATGAATTGGAGCAGAAATTCACTTCTGAACCCTCGTTAGTAGAAGCGTGAAGCAGAGAAGGCAGATCTATGGGCCAGTAGGTGCCAGGCAGCTCGGGAAACTCCAGAGAGTGCTAAGCCAGTTTTATAGGCAAAACAGATTTACAGGTAAAGTGTTAAGTGCTAAAATCCTCACAAACTGATGCCTGCAAGGACCACTAAAAGCTTGTCTGGATGACTTTTGGGTCACAGCTACTTCTCAGTCTCTGGCTTTTTCTGCTTATCAGTACGTGCCCTGCAAAAGAGTCAGTCTTCAAACCCTCGCACTGGGACACAGACGATGTGCCACTATTGCTCTATAGGGACTGAGTGCACTGGGAATCAACTTGATTGAAAGAATACCTATGTCTCATGTATTTGATCTGCCCTGTTAAAATATGTTGGCACCAAAGTTTCATCTGGATTGTCTGAGCCCTCTTTGAGCTGTTTCAGGGCTATCAGAGAAGCTGGCAGAGTAGAGGTGGTGAACTGCAGGGAGATCAGCTGAAGCTGGCGAGCACAGTGTTATGCAGCTGACATGTTCAGGAAGCTTTTAAACATAAATGAACTTCAGAAGCATCTACGTAGAACATCGGCCGTACAATGACACTGGGTGTTGCTGCTGGACCCAGGTTGGTATCCACTTCACCATGCAGCATTCTGTAAATAACTGAGGTGGAGTTCCTGCTGACCGGCAATACAGAGATCTCAGCAGGGAGATTCTTCCCAGAGGTGATGCGCCTTCAAAAAACCAAGAACAAGTACTTGTACCTGTTCTCCAGACCTTCCCACTTCAGACTCTGGAGGCTCTTCTACATTAAAGATCTTCTACCATCCTTTTCAGAGACACTACCCTGAGATTTCCTCTGCAAAATGCTGCAGGAATTATCCTGGATTTCCATATGCTAAATGAAAGTCCCCCAGCTGGCTCTTTCTAAACCATATAAAACTTGATTCAAGTTAAAGCCAACTCTCAAAGTTTGAGGTCTCTCTTCCAGCAATTCTCTATCTTCTCTTTATCCCGAATCTGTGTGTGCAAGCAGGAATGGCATGAGCCAGAAATGACGCGTTAGCACAGCCACTTACTAGGACCACTTCTTTAAATCAGTTCTCTGGATGGTTTAAGGAGCGGATCTGACGCTTTCCCTGCAGTAAGTGGAGCAGCTCATGCTGTCCTGATACATGAGGGTAACAGGATATGGGAAATGATCTTGGGCTTTCACAGGAATAGGGTCAGGGAACACTATGACCGCTTCAGATCAAGCCAAGGGACAAAATGCATCAGAGGATGGAGCGGGAATCTGGGAGAGTGTTCTTCTCTATTCTTCAGCTCTAACACTGCTCTGAAATCGCTCGGACCTCCATCTCTCTCCTGTGATTTGCCTACCCGGTGAGTGTGCCAGGAAAACTAGACTGCCAAATCATTCACAGCTCTAGGAAAAGTGTATCACGGTCAGTGACTTTTCCTGGCCTAGCAGGAAGCAGCGCTATCCTGTCATCAGGGGAGGGAGATGGAGCAGGAGTCCTGAGCAGGGAGACTCAAGTGGAAGGAAACGCAGAGGCTGGGAAAAGGGTGGAGAAAGGGAAGGAGGAAGAAAACTTGCAGGAGGGAAGGAAAACAACAACACACCCAAACGCTCAGCGGCGCTAAGACAGCATCCACACAGAGCCATGAGCTTGCCCTGGCCGTACCCACTGCGTGCCCCGCCTGCTCCCATCGGCTCCGCGCATCCCGGCCCGCACCAGCCGCCCGCTTTGTTGTCCCCAGCGGCTGCAGCCCTGCCCCTCCGCGTGTCCGTCCCTCCCCGCCTTATCCCGCACCTTCTGGTGCTTCCGCTCCTTCTCGATGCGGTCCATCCTCTCCAGGCGCAGGCGGTCGAGCTCCAGGCGCAGCTCCTCCATCTCGGGGTTGATGTGGTTGCGGCTCACCAGCACCTCCAGGATCTCCAGCACCCGCACCACCTTGGGCATGAGGCGGGCGATGGCCTCGCAGCCGTGTTGATCGATCACCCGCTCAAACTCCTGCCCCACGGCCGAGGCGATGTCGTACACGTCCATGACCGTCAGCTCCGCCGCGTTCTTCTCCAGGGCGGGCGGCACCCCGCCGCCGCCGTCCATGGCTCGCCCTGCCCCGCGGCACCCTCATAGGCAGCAGCGGGGCGTCTTCTTCGCGGGGCACCCCCCGGCAGCCGAACCCCGCACCCGGGCCGCGGCCCCGCGCAACTCCCGCAAACTCGGGCTGTCCCGGCGGTGCCGGGGGGGGGTGTTTAAACTTGGCCGGGCGGCGACGGGAAGGAGGGACCGAGGGAGGGCGGGCGCGCCCGCACCGCCACCACCGCCCCGCCGCTCGGGGCCAATGGCAGGCACCGGGCGGGCCGGGCCGGGGGAGGCCCCGCGCATGCCCGCGGCCACCGCCGTGCTTCGCCGGGCTGCGGGATGTGCGGCCCCACCGGTGACCGCGATAGGTCTCGACGGGAGGAGCCGGGGTGAAAGCCGCTGCTCTGTGGATGCTCCTGGCTGATGCCTGCGCTGAGCTCCGTCAGCGTTGGGATGAGCCGTGGTAGCGGCCTCTTGTACCGCTCCATCGTGCGGGATGGCAGCCACGCGTTTGAACGGGACGGGAGTCATCGAGGATTCGGGATCGATGGTACCCATCCCTGGAGCGGGCGCACAGGGATGTACCGCAGTTCCGTGGTGCCACGGTACCCATCCCTGGAGCGGGCGCACAGGGATGTACCGCAGTTTTGTGGTGTCACGGTACCCAAGGGCAGAGGCAGCACCGGAGCTCGAAGCTGCCAGGACAGGAGCAGGGTAGATGGCCTTCAGCTCCAAGCGAGGAGGAAGGCAAACAGATAGCTGCAGGCTAACGTCGTGGGGGGGAAAGAAGTCATTCTGCAGGACAAGTATGGGTCTCACACACAGCAGCTCGCTCATTGTTAGGGGTTTAGGCACTCACTCTGCAAGAACAGAGTAATATAGTCCTTACGCCTGTTTAGTGTCAGCAGAGATACATACAAGTGGTTTGCTGCACAGATCCACTTACAGAGGAATTTAAACTAAACCCAAATGTGTCTTTTCTGTTTTTTTTTTTCAGTATTTTTCCTTCAGGTGTGACTGCATTCTTAAATGTTCTCATGGTGCTTAGTATGAGGTTATCCAGATGGGCCATTATGGATATATTAAATGTGCCCCTAAACAATTGTAGGTTCTAATCCTGCCACTTGCTGCATTCAGTGTAGAAATAATGCATTATAGTTTGGACAAGATACTATGGATAACAATTAGTCAGAAGAAATAAAACTGGAGTTGCAAAAGCCAAGCTTTGACTGATACATGCTGCATGTTGTGGCTGCAGCATTCATCCTCTATTTGTCACACAAGGAAGGGAAAAACACCAATACAAGTGAATGGGAGGGATGACTGATAGGAAATGCAACACTGTGACACTCAGAGGAACTTTTTCAGGCAATACTATTAACATCCCCTTAGGTCACAGGTTACAAAACTTCAGCCTTCCTCCCATGCTGCCAAGTGCTCACATTCCTGGAGCTGGGCAGCCAGGGTGTCAAACCAGCCTCCAAGCATCAGAGTTTGATGTTCAGTTGCCTAACTTATAATAATAATCATCAATGACAGCCTGTGCAAATGTATCTAACATCCTTCGTGAAGTTTATTGCCAAAATTGATCGCTGCAGGGTATTGCACAAAGTTCCAGAGAGAGCAATAGGATGAATAGCAGCCCATCCATCCCTGTAACAGTCATCCTTCCCTGGCAAACAACACTTATGGGAGCTTGGGAAGGGGCAGCAGCACGAGCAGAACATCTGGAGAACACTGCAGTACCTCAGGGGACAGATATGCTGTGAAATCATTCTTTTGTCCAAGTTAGAGATGAGAGAAAGAGTTCACGTCACCAGGATTCAGTATAAATGAGTTCTCATGTGTAAATGTACATAGAGGGAAAAAGTAATGATTCGGAGAATGTGCTGGTGGGAAGAGTTAAATCCCTACTGAGACAGATGGAAAACCAGCACAGCAGTTCATGCTGCAGGAAGCAGCAGGTTCAAGCTTGGTTCAATCCAAACTCACTGGAAACCATGGAAGTTTTCAGCGCCTTGACAGGAGAGGGCTCTTGCCACTCACATACATGACCTGTAGCTCCTCAAGTTCACCTTCCTCTCGCCAGCATCTTTCCTTTCCATGCCCGGAGCCTGCACTGGCACATCCAGCTCTGCCGCTTGGACCTGGCAGCTTGAGATGAGCAAACTCACTTATGTTAATCAAGTAATTGGATCCCATTTGTCACACAAACACAACGTCTGGGCATTATACCCAGGACTACAACAACTGGCGCTCACTTGGCAAGCCCAAGCGCATAAATATTGCACCGGAAAGCCAGATTGTGCTTTAGTCTTTAGATCTTTAAAGATAATTAAACCAGCTAGTCATGAAAACAGTCTCTCTTCAGCTCCAGCACGGCCTTCTGTATTGCCGACTGCAAGTGCTAACTGACAAGTAGCATTTAAGCATGACAACGCAGAGGAGGCTTTTCACGCCGTGATGCAGGAGCCGGACTGTGTTTGCTGCGCGCCCACAAGCTGGGCTTCCCCGTTACCTCCTTGATCGTCAGCTCTTTACCCAATCCCTACCCTGATGGAGCAGGTTTGGGTTTCCCGGCCTGCAGCAGCAGCAGTCTCGGCCGCAAAGGACAGCGGCGACAGCGGCCTGAACCGCGTTAAGAGGCTCCCGCGCTCCCGCCGCCACCCCCGCGCTTGACAGACACCGTCCAGCCAATGGCGCGCTTTCTGACAGACCAGCTCTCCCCACCCCCTTCTGATTGGCTTCAGCCCCCACGGCCCCGCCCCCGCTTCATGCTCATTGGTTGCTCTCCTACATGTGCTCCGCCCCCCGCGCCGCGCGGTGAGTGCCCCGGGGTTAGTCCGTCCCTCTGCGGTTGGTCCTTCAGCGGCCGCCGTAGCGCAGCCCGTACGTGGCAGCGGGGCTGTGCCCGCCTATGAGCGGCGGCCCCGTGCCCCGGAAGGGGCGTGTCGGGAGCCGGAAGCTCCCCCTCCCCGTCGCTGCCGTCGCGCCGCTCGGTGCCCGCTGCCGCTGGGCTCCGCCATGTCGCCGGTGCGGGCGGTGCTGGCGCTGCTGGCCGCCATCGCGGCCCCGGCTGCCGCCTACTTCGTCAGCATCGACGCGCACGCCGAGGAGTGCTTCCTGGAGCGGGTGCCGTCCGGCACGAAGATGGGGCTCATCTTCGAGGTGGCCGAGGGGGGCTTCCTGGACATCGACGTGGAGGTGAGGGCCCAGCGCCGCGGCTGGGCCGCGCCTGTTCCCCGCCGCCTGTGAGGTGGGGAGGCCGGGGCAGCGCCCGGTGTGGGGTGGACAGCGGTGGTCAAACCGGCCGGGCGGTTCCGTGCGGTCCCGGCTCGTTGCGGGGGGGCTCCGTGCGTGCTGACCGGGCCCCCCGCGGTGGATCGGGCGGTCTCGGAGCGGAAGAGGAGCCGCCTCGACGGGCTGCGTTTCCTAAGGCCGCTTGTGCCGTTCCTGCCCCCAGGGCTGTTCTCGGGAGGTTTCCTGCGTTGCCCGGCTCGGTATAGACTTGTCATGTTAACCGCTTTGGCGGGAAGAACGAACAGGATTCCTGTGTATAAAACCGCGTTGCTTGTTCTGCGAGCAGCGTGTCTCCCCTTGAATCGAAAGGCGTTGTCTTTAATCGGGGTGATTGCCATCTTGAGAGCTGTAGGTAAGTCCTTTTCCTCAGTGAGGCATCAGATCAAGAGAATAGTAAATAAGGATTCCTTTCGTCTTGGTGAGGAGCAGAGAGATGTTTGTTTGGGATAATTTAAACCTGAGGGAGTTGTTGCTGGCAGTGAGTGTAACGGCTTCAAATGACACATGGCTCTTCCACGGGGCAGGCAGGAAGAGGAAGCTGAAATCCCATTCAAATGGCTCCCGTGGAAGCTCGGCAGCAGAGTTTGGCCTGATGAAATGGAAGGCTCAAAATAGCAGTGATGCTGAGCACTCATACTCAATGCAATAGCCTGTTTGGAATGGTCGCTGCAACAGTGCACAACTGTGTGCCTAAAGTAGCACCGATGTGTGGGAGAACGTCTTTTCCTTCAGACATCAGCAGTGAGGATTCTTTTGTAGCTGTTTCTTTAGCAAACAGCCAGGGCTGTATATAACTTGTGGTTTACTTGTTCTTGACTGCTTCTTATCTCGCCTGTGTAATCTCGGACAGTGAGAGAGGCTTTTGTGTGACTTTCTTTACCAAGAAGTTTATTACAAAGAGTTACGTGCAGGAAAATGCATCACTGCCTTTGAGTTGTGGGCGGGAAGGTATGAAGAGTGCCAAACCAGATTACACATGGTGTTGGTCATTCTGACTGGGTGACTTCGGCACATGCATGCAGTGTTGTAAGGGTATATTTGAACCCACTGTATTTCAAATCAAACATATGACACTTTGTTTTCCCCAGATTACAGGGCCTGATAATAAAGGAATTTATAAAGGTGATCGAGAGTCCAGTGGAAAATACACGTTTGCTGCCCACATGGATGGAACTTACAAGTTTTGCTTTAGCAACAGAATGTCCACCATGACTCCCAAGATAGTGATGTTCACTATTGATATTGGAGAAGCTCCAAAGGGGCAGGACATGGAGACAGAAGGTGAGGAAGACTTCTGGAAAGGAATTAGCTCTGGCTTGGGAGCTATTCCCTACATGCATGGCTTCTGAACTTGAGTAGGAATCTCAGAATTGCTGTTTCTTCAGGCTCTCTAGTTAGCCGTTCTCTTGCACAGCTAAAATCTGGGTGGTTTTAGACCTCATTGTATGGTTTAATGCAAAAAATCACCAGAGAATCACTTGGCCATCTGCAGAAACGAATGCCTTCCTCCTTTAGTCTTTTCATTAGTTTCATTCTTCTGTTTCTAGTTTGCTCAGCAGTACCTAGGCTCCTACATGCCTTAGTTGAGCTCTTTGATAAATGTGCCAATATAATTTTTTTCTCTTAGCTGTATAAATGAGTGTTTTATCTGCAGCCTTTTGTCCTGCACTTGTGTTTATCTCTTACACTTTCCTCTAGGTGGTGGAGATACCTGGGATGGTATGTGTACTGCTTTTTGAAAGCTCATTAGCATCTTGTCTTTGGCATATGTTTATTCACTAACAGCTAACGTTTGCTTTTCTCTGTAACATTGGTTTGTAGCATGAGAATGTCTTTAATAATCTACATAGAAGGTCTGATTCTGAGCAATGCTGAGCACCTGCA